ATCGGGATGCTCGAAGCGATGGCATTAGGACTTCTGGCCGTCTTCCACTTTACGGTCAAGGGTGGGACGGTCTTAAAAAAAAAGACAAGAGATTGGAAGAGATCCAGGATGGAATGAGATGCTCTATTTTTAGAAACTGGACTGCAAGAGTGGACCTTTGGGCCACAAGATCTTCCCCTGAGCAGGGCCGGCCTTTGTCTGCAGGGAGAGCTCTCCGGCCCTGAGCAGACGGTGCCAGGGGCTTCGTTTGGCTGTAAAATGCCCTTAAAGCACAATACAACCCAGTGCCCAGTCCAAACCACAATTAACTATTTTTTTCCCCCAGTCTTGGGGAATTTCAATGTTTGGTTGCAGCCCTGGGTCTGCAGAAGCGATGACCTGGTAAAATATAGAATATAAAATAACGGAGTTGGAAGGGAGCTTGGAGGCCTTCTAGTCCAACCCCTTGCACCAGAAGCCAGTTTGGGGTTAGGGTTATTCCTCGACGTACGACCACAATAGAGCCCAAAATCTCTGTTGCTAAGCAAGTTAAGTGAGTTTTGATCTGTTTTACTCCATTCAGTTGTTAAGCGAATCATTGGAGTGATTCCCTCCCTCCCTCTCCCTCTCCCTCCCTTTCTCCCTCCTTTCTCCTCTCCCTCCCTCCTCTCTTTTTCTCTCTCCATCCCTCCCTCCCTCTCTCTCCTTTCTCCCTCCCTTTCTCTCCCTCCTCCCTCTCCCTCTCTTCCTCTCTTTCTCTCTCCTTCCCTCTCTCTCTCCCTCCCTCTTTCTCCCTCCCTCCCTCTCTCCCTCTCTCCCTCCCTTTTTCCCTCTCTCTTCCTCTCCCTCCCTCCCTATTTCTCTCTCTCTCTCTCTCTCTCTCTTCCCCTCTTGGTGCATTTGTTCCTCCCTCCCTTGGTCCTGCAAAGCTGGTTTAGACTCTGGACTGAATCCTCTTTTGCAATTCCATTACTTCACTTCGTTTCCAGCTTCGCTGCATCTTCCCGATTTTCGTCATGCGGCTAAATCAGGCCCTGGATTTCTGCCCTCAAACCTTGCCCAGATGGGCTTGTCTTGGTTTGGCAGGGACTGGAACGGTGCAAGGAGGCAAACATGCCATGAACTAACCACATTTTAGTGGCGTGGCCATTGCGACACTGATTGGTGCCTTTTTTGGACTGAGCTGCAAAACCTAACCTGAGAGACACTGATTCCTAGTTAAAATGGGACGTGCGGAAAACGACGGAGCGGCACTGTGAAAGCACCACAATCTAAGCCTCCCCGCCCCCCTTTAGAGGAAGTAGCAGGACTCGTTGCTTCGAACTGGTTTAAAAAAATAAACGTCCATTTTTCGGGTGAACTGAACAAAGCATGCAAGTAATCCTCGAATTGCAACCCCTCGTTTAGCGACCGTTCGAAGTGACGCCGACATCAGAACAAAAATGATCTTCAAAAACAAAAAATATCTGAAGGGCACAAAATATCTAGTACTACACATATGAACCGCTGCCAGGATTGCCTACGCTCAATGTTGGAAACAGCCATGCCCCCGCAGAGAAACTGCTCATACAAAAGGTCATGCATTGCGCAGAAATGGACAAATTAACGCTGAGTTTAAAAGATAAAGAGACGTCGATATTTTACAATGTGTGGGAACAGTGGTATAACTGGATAGAACGGAGATTGAAGATAGATGATTGATTGAAGATAGATAGTTATTAAGTACAAGTAATAGATAAAATACGAATGTAAATACGCACAATTTAATTTTTGTAAATAATGCACGAATTATTGTCACAAGAAAAACACCACCATTAGCTGTTGTTGAGTGAAAGAAGTTTTTATGTTTTTAATGTAATAAAAGTTTAATAAAGTGTTTATAAAAAAAAAGAAAAAAATGACTTACGACTGATCCCTGCGCATAACGATTGTCGTCTCGGCCTCCCCCACCCCAAGGTCATGTGATCAAAATTTGGCCCTCATGTCTTTAGGATGGTTGCAAGAAGGGGTGAAATCCAGCAGGTTCTGGCGAACCAGTAGCGGAAATTTTGAGCAGTTCAGAGAACCGGCAAATACCACCTCTGGCTGGCCCCAGGGTGGGGTGGGAATGGAGATTTTGCAATAACCTTCCCCCAGGAGTGGAGAGGGAATGGGGATTTTTTTGTTTGTTTGTTTGTTTGATTTATATGCTGCCCTTCTCCGGAGACTCAGGGCGGCTTACAATGCGTTAAGCAATAGCCTTCATACTTTTATATATTTTATACAAAGTCAGTTTATTGCCCCCACAGTCTGGGTCCTCATTTTACCTACCTTAGAAAGGATGGAAGGCTGAGTCGACCTTGAGCCTGGTGAGATTTGAACTTAAAGTAATTGCAGGCAGCTGATGTTAATAACAGTGCTTTAGTCGGCTGCGCCACCAGGGCTCTTTTGCAGGATCCTTCCCCTGCCACGTCAACCAAGCCGCACCACGCCCACCAAGCTATGCACACAGAACCGGTAGTAAAAAAATTTGTAATTTCAATTTGGATTTCACCACTGGTGTCAAGGTCCCGAGGGGGGGGGGTGTCACGTGATCGCCGTTTGCTACCTTCCCCATCTGCTCCCAAGCAGAGAAGTCAATGGGGAGTGCCGGATTTGCTTAATGACTGCACGTTTCACTTAACTGTTGTAGTGATTTGATTAATGGGCACAGCATAAAAGCACGTAAAATCAGGTATGTCTCACCTACCCGCCTTGCTTAGTGACAGAAATTACAGGTCCTGATTGTGGTCATATGTTGAGGACCGCCTGTGTATGACGGCGGTGTGCACTGGGGTCAGGAGAATGGCCATAACTCTGCAAAGGAAGCTCCGCCCATTTTTAGATGTTTTAATATATTTCCTTGTATGGATCCCGAAAGAACGTGGTTTTTTTTCCTAAAAAAGATCATTTTAGCCCTATGACAAATTCCTTAGCTGGGATTGAACACATACAGGTGATGTCTTCTGGGTGTCAAAATCTGTGTGATGACAAACAGGATGTTGTGATGAGGGTGGGGGAGGCTACTCTTGGAACTTTGAACCAGGGTCATAAGTGGCCCCCAGGTAAAGGGCCCCCTTTAAAAGGTCCCCAAAATGAACTGGCCCAAAGTCATCCAGTTGGCTTTCTTGCCTAAGGCGGGACTAGAACTCACAGTCTCCTAGTGATTGGCCAACATCATTAGGTTGGCTTTATGTCTAATGCGGGACTAGAACTCACGGTCTCCTGGTGATTGGCCCAACGTCATCCGGTTGGCTTTGTGTCTAAAGCGGGACTAGAACTCACGGTCTGGTGATTGGCCCAACATCATCAGGTTGGCTTTGTGTCTAAGGCGGGACTAGAACTCACAGTCTCCTGGTGATTGGCCCAACGTCATCCGGTTGACTTTGTGTCTAAGGCGGGACTAGAACTCACAGTCTCCTGGTGATTGGCCCAAAGTTATCCAGTTGGCTTTCTTGCCTAAGGCGGGACTAGAACTCACGGTCTCCTGGTGATTGGCCCAACATCATCAGGTTGGCTTTGTGTCTAAGGCGGGACTAGAACTCACGGTCTCCTGGTGATTGGCCCAACGTCATCCGGTTGGCTTTGCGTCTAAGGCGGGACTAGAACTCACGGTCTCCTGGTGATTGGCCTAACATCAGGTTGGCTTTGTGTCTAAGGCGGGACTAGAACTCACAGTCTCCTGGTGATTGGCCCAACATCATCAGGTTGGCTTTGTGTCTAAGGCGGGACTAGAACTCACAGTCTCCCAGTTTTTAGGAGAGGGAGGGAGGGAGAGGGAGGGAGATAGATACAACGTCTGTCTGTCTATAATGTGTCTGTCAAAAATTACATTTCCTACTCTTGAGAAGAGATCACCTTATGGGAGGCATTAAGTGACAGCACCCACATATTCCCAAATCCCCAAATGTATTCCCCACAGCAAAACTGCCCTTTTCCTGCTGGGCTTTTCTGGAAATCTAAGAGAGCCAATGGGGTATGCTGGTTAAAGGACTGAATTAGCCTCAATTTTGCCCACTTTTAATTATAAAAACTTAATAGGAGATTTGAGACTCAATCAGTCTTTCTCCTTCCACCTGATCTATCCCACAGGACTGTCGTTGGGGGTGAGAATAACAAAGGGGCATTCATCACTGAAGCCATCTTGGAGGAAAAGTAAATATACTAAAAAATAATAATAATAATAGTACATAAAGAATTACGGGCTTGGTGTAATTCGGCCAGGGGTACTTTTTTTCACCAGTAGTGGACCTGCCCTCAGATTAGGAAGTTTTGGGAAAAGATTCAAAAATGGTTGAACGAGATAACAGGTGCAAGCTTCCCTCTAATTCCAGACTCTTACTTACTTGGAATTAAACTAAAAGATGTGGGCAAACAAGATTGGCACTTATTCATCCATATTACAACAGCGGCAAGGATGGCACTTGCCCAGCAATGGAAAAATGCAAATACACCATCAGATCAACTTATAATAAATAAGATATTGAATTGTGCCGAATTGGACAAACTAACATATATCCTAAGAGAGAAAAAAGAATCCATATACTACAGTAACTGGGAACGCTGGTATATATGGCTAAAGAAAAGGACAAATAGAGAGTAAATAATATAGTATTAAATATATATTTGTTTATAATTAGATAGCGTTTGGTATTTAAAACAGTCAATGTTATCTGGACAAAAAGATTTACCGGGATGTAACTATGAATAGATATCTGGGGGATCGCTACGATTCCTGGTTAGTCCTTCCTTGTAGTTGTCTTTATGTGTTGTGTTGTCTATACATAGATAACTTATATCGATTTGATAATTATAGTATATGTTTTTTTATTTGTAAATAACTAATAAAGATCATTAAAAAAAAAAAAAGGATTACAGGACACTCATATTGTCTCCATAATCAAAGGAAAAATTTCAGATCCAGGAGCTACTCAATGTCCCAAACTATTAGAAGGACTATGTTCTAATCTAAATGAAGAAAAAAAACCAAACCCAGCCATGTACACCAGGAAATTCAACTCTTTATTTGTTTAACCAGCAAACCATTTAAAATACGAAAAAGCAACAATACACAAAGCCTACAATTATTAGCAGTAACCAGGCACAGAAAATTCTTCCGATCACAAACGTCAGTGTTGAAATGATTCAAGTATAAAGTTCCACAACAACCGGATAAATCACTGTCAAAAGATGCGGCATCCAAGGTTGTCTTCCCAGGCACAGGACTCTGAACTGTACAATAACCTCCATCACTGAAGTCAAGCTTGCCCTGAAAAATAGGAAACAAGGTGTTAACAAGAAATCACCTACTTAGAAAAAGAAAAGAAAAAGAAGGGGGGAAAAAAGCAAATCAGAAGAACAACAAAAAGGAGAAATCATCTATCCATCATCTCTTGCCCGCTTCAATACTTTAATTGCTATGCTTTTCTTTTGACTTGCCTCCCTTATTCCTTTCTTGGATCTTTATCTCTGTCTGTATCTGTATCTTTTCCTTTTTTTTAGGTAGGTGACGTGACCAGAAGTTAGGTAGGATAGAAATAAAATATTTCTTAATAAAGGGTGACATGATTAAAAGTTAGAATAAGAGATAAAAATAAGAGAAGGGGAAATATTAATGTATGCGCTTTTATATAATAAAAGCAATAACAAGAGAAAATATGGAATAATTGAATAACGACAGACTGCAACTTAGTATAGATAGGTATTATTAGAAATTACATAAGTTGATTGAATGTAATAACTATGATTAATTTTACTAGTTTTATTTGTATTAGAATGCATGATACCCAGATGCCACACTGTTCACGCATTGATGTGTTTGTAAAAACGAAGGAAGGAAGGAAGGAAGGAAGGAAGGAAGGAAGGAAGGAAGGAAGGAAGGAAGGAAAAGCATGAAGGAAGGAAGGAAGGAAAGGCAGGAAAGAAAGGAAGGAAGGCAGGCAGGAAAGGAAGGAAAGAAGGAAAGGCAGGAAAGAGGAAGAAAAGCAGGAAGGAAGGAAAAGCAGGCAAGGAAGGAAAGAAGGAAAGAAAAATGCAGGAAAGGAAGGAAGGAAGGAAAGAAAGGCAGGAAAGAAAGGCAGGCAGGGAAGGAAGCAAGGAAGGAGGCAGGAAAGGAAGGAACACAGGCAGGAAGGAAAAGCAGGCAGGGAAGGAAGGAAGGAAAGGCAGGAAAGAGGAAGAAAGGCAGGAAGGAAGGAAGGAAAGGAAAGAAAAATGCAGGAAAGGAAGGCAAGAAAGAAAGGAAGGAAGGAAAGAGGCAGGCAGGGAAGGAAGCAAGGAAGGAGGCAGGAAAGGAAGGAAGACAGGCAGGAAGGAAAAGCAGGCAGGGAAGGAAGGAAGAAAAGAAAGGAAGGCAGGCAGGCAGGAAAGGAAGGAAGGAAAGAGGCAGGCAGAAAGGGAAGGATGGAAAGTGAATAGATGGATGGATGAACCACCGTTGGAGAGAAGAAGGAAGGAAGGAAACCATTTTGATCTTATTAGCAAGAATTACAACATTAACAGAGTATAGAGTTTTCAGCACACCATAGTTTCAATGGAGAAACTTTTAGAAGATCTAAAGATGCGGAGTAGATATTTAAACGTACGAAGAGAACTCACCCTTTCTTCCATGCCCTCCTACCAACGAAAAGCGATTCCATTCTGACTGATCTGTCCCAGAATTTCATTGTACCTAGAAGTCACAGCGTTGGCTCGGCTGGTCATTTGGGCGAGGACATGATATAAGCCGGAAATGTGATACCGAAAGAGTCCTTCAAGGTCGGTCTTCTCCTTAGCTTCTTCTTCTTCTTCCCTGCTGGAGCTCAGACTCTTGTCGTGAAGAGGAGGTAGACCGCTCTCAACCGTTGACTTGATGGATTTTAGAAGCGTGAAGTCGTCGTACAGGTCTCTGTCCCTGGAACATTTCTGCTCGGAGTTGATTTCGGTTGGGTCCTCCTGGTCTTCCAAGGAGACCCCCTGGAGAAGGCTGGGAAACATGACCGTTTGCTCCATGTGACGGACTGCTGAGAAGTATCTCTGGAGAGGAATGCGGTCTCCATACTGATTCTCCATGGCTGGATTTTCAAGAGAAGAAGCTGGGTAGACTGTGAAGATCTTCTCCTTCAAGCTGGGTGGGCTGTGAAGATCTTCAGCTTTTGATCTGGAAGTGGAAGAACTTCAGCTCTTGATCGGGAAGTGGAAGAACTTCAGCTCTTGATCTGGAAGTGGAAGATCTTCAGCTCTTGATCGGGAAGTGGAAGAACTTCAGCTCTTGATCGGGAAGTGGAAGAACTTCAGCTCTTGATCGGGAAGTGGAAGATCTTCAGCTGTTGATCAGGAAGGTGTTCTCCATTTATAAATGCCCAAATCCTGGCAGGACCCCAAACACGATTGGGGTGGTTTCATACCACTGGCCACTCAAAAGTCCAGGAAATGTCCAGATTTGGGGGAAGATTGGCTTGTTGTGATCATGAACTTGGTTTTTATTTTTAGTCTGGGGGTCATTTCCAAACTCTTCCTTGTACAGTGTTATTCCTTGGCCTTGTCGAGTTTATAGACAGTTGGCGCGGGAACAAGGGGGCGAGAGAGCTGCATTGGGACATCAAGGCTGGCACGCCACGCATTATCTCCCAATAGCTTTGAGTTTGCCAAATAAGCGAGACAAAGCTGTACAGAAGTGCCAGGAAGAACATTTCATCATTTATGACATTTTGTGAAACCGCTGTTCATCTTGCTGTTGGCTGAGGACCAACTGTTTGCAGAAGGGTTGTCCAAACGCCGCAAGAGACAAGCCACAAGTTAGTGCAGGCAGTCCTCGGTTTACAACAGTTCGTTTAGTGACCGTCCAAAGTTGCAGCGGCACTGAAAAGCGTGACTTACAACCGTCGTTCACAGTTAACGACCTTGGCGGCCTCCCCGTGATCGTGCGATCAAGATTCAGACACGCTTGGCAAATGACTCGTGTTTATGACCGTTGCTGTGTTCCTGGGCTCATGTGATCCCCTCTTGTGACTTTCCGACGAGCGAAGCCAATGAGGAAGCCGGATTCACTCAACAACGGTGGCAAGAAAAGTCATAAAATGGGGCAAAACTCCCTTAACAAATGTCTCACTTAAAAACAGAAATTTGGGGCTCAATTGTAGTCGTAAGTCAAGGTCTACCTGTACAGTAGTGTGATCTGTACAGATACAGGTAGTCCTCGACTTACGACAGTTCGTTTAGTGACTGTCCAAAGTTGCAGCAGCACTGAAAAAAGTGGCTTATGACCATTTTTCACACTTACGACCATTGTAGCATCCCCATGGTCACATGACCAAAATTCAGACACTTGGCAACTGGCTCATATTGATCCCTTTTCACTTAATGACCCTGTTATTATTGGTAATTCAACAACTGCAGTGATTCATTTAACAAACGTGGCAAGAAAAGTCATAAAATGGGACAAAAACTCACCTAACAAATTTCTCGCTTAACAACAGAAATGTTGGGCTCAATTGTGGTCATAAGTTGAGGACTACCTGTATTAAGTTAGTAACAGGGTTGTTAAGTGAATCCGGCTTCCCCATTGACTCTGCTTGTCAGAAGATCACAAAAGGGGGATAACCTGATCCAGGACAGTGCAACCGTCATAAATGTGAATCAGTGGCCAAGCGTCTGAATTTTTAATATTTTTTTTTTTTAAACATAAACATAAAATACATCTTTTCAAAACGAAGCATTGATCCGGTCATAAATTGGTACAATTACTAACAAATCTTAATTTTCAAATAACACAACTTAATCTTTAACCCAATTATTTCCCTAAATTCTATCTATTTAACAATGCCGTTATCCCAAAAACCCGTTACTTAAATCTTTAAATCCTAACCAAATATCATTTCATTTTTCTTTTTCTTGGCTTAGATGAATGTATTTTGAAAATAGAAATCATTACAATTATTATAAGCATTTAAACAATATTTTAGCTATTGCTCCCAATATAATCATCTTCATTGCTGTTTAAGCGTCTGAATTTTGATCACATCACCATGGGGATGCTGCAACGGTCATTAAGTGTGAAAAATGGTTGTAAGTCCCTTTTTTCCCCAATGCCGTCGTAACTTTGAACGGTCACTAAACGAATAAGCCAAAGACAACCTATAGCTTTGGACTTAGCCAGTAAGTTTGAGGAGCGAAAGGGCAGATCGAAGAGATTTTTAGGAAACCATTGGAAGAATGGACGATCCCCTCGGCAAAATATTCAAAATATTCAACGTCAATGAAAGAAGCTGGATACGCTTCACGACTGTGTGTGTGTGTCAATTAATGGCAATGATTCACTTAACAACCGTTGTAAAATTTATTTATTTATTCGTTTATTTATTTATTTATTTATTTATTTATTTATTTATTTATTTATTTATTTATTTTGTCGTATTTCTATGCCGCCCCACTCCCAAGGGACTCTGGGCGGCTTACAACAGAGCATAAAACAATGCAACAATATCCCATACAAAAGTTAAAAGAAGACATTAAAACATTAAAACATTAAAACGTTAAAATACATACACTCCAACTCCAAATTGGAGTGATTCACTTAACGTGTGCTTGGGCTCAGCAACAGAAATTCTACTCTCCGCTGTGGTCATAACTGGAGGACTACCTGATTTACAGGAGCAGAGAATGTTCAACCCTTCTGGCTTCGGGCAGCCTGAAACTTTGTGTGACTTTTGATAAGGGTTTCCAAAACGTTCAGATGTGCAATATTCATGCACAAAGACACACAGCTGTGCAATATTAGCACAAGGGACACGGCCACAGCGAGTGAGCAAAACAAACCGAGGGCAGCCAGCCGTCCCCACTTGCGGAGACAAATTTCGCACTCTGGGGATTTCTCAATTTTTGAAGATGTTTCTTGCCCTCTCTGCTTTTCCCCCTGACTCCGTTGGCTGCCATCCTTCCCCCTACACCCCAACAAACTTTTCTCTTTTTTTCTTCTTTTTATTGTTTGTTATTTCTTTTTATTGTGATATGATACATCTTGATACCGCAGGCTATTTTGATTCAGTTTATACAGGGTCGTTCAATTCTTCCTGTCCCCGTTACCTTGGAGCGCGGGAAAGAAGAAGAGAAATAAAAATGAAAAGTCTATATGCCAATATTAATTCAGGATATTGGTCATCGGGATGATTAGATTTTTTTTTTTCATTCGAAGTTAAATATCACATTGGAAAGGCAGGGATGGCAGAAGAACGTGGGACATACAGCCAGGAATTTCTTACATAATTAAGATTTCAATCTTAATCTTAATTACTACTTCATATTGAAATCCCCAATGTGTTAGTTTATATATGCTGTCAGTCTCTGTATTTATCTATCTCTTTATATCTTCTCTCTCATCTCAATCTATCAATCAATTTATATCATCTCTATAAATCTCTCAATCTATCTACATCTCTCGCTATCTATCCCTCTATTTATCTATATTTACCTACCTGTCTAGTTTATCTTTCTCTCAATCTATCTATCTATCATCTATCTATCTATCTATCTATCTATCTATCTATCTATCTATCTATCTATCTATCCTCTCATCTCAATCTATCGATCAACTTATATCATCTCTTATATCATCTCTATAGATCTATCTACATCTCTCTCTCTCTCTCTCTCTCTCTCTCTATCTATCTATCTATCTATCCCATTTATCTATATTTACCAACTTACCTACCTGTCTAGCTTATCTGTGTATCTATCTATCTATCTATCCTCTCATCTCAATCTATCGATCCATTTATATCATCTCTATAAATCTCTCAATCTATCTACATCTATCTATCTATCCCCCTATTTGTCTATATTTACCTACTTACCTGTCTAACTTATCTGTCTGTCTGTCTATCTATCTATTTATCCTCTCATCTCAATCTATCGATCAATTTATATAATTTCTATAAATCTCTCAATCTCTCTACATCTATCTATCTATCCCCCTATTTATATTTACCTACTTACCTACCTGTCTACCTTATCTGTCTGTCTGTCTATCTATCTATCTATCTATCTATCTATCTATCTATCTATCTATCTATCTATCTATCTATCATCTCATCTCACTCATCTCTCACATCTATCTTCTATCTATCCTCTCATCTCAATCTATTGATCAATTTATAACTATCATCTATATAAATCTCTCATCATCTCAATCGTCTATCTAATCCTGTATTTATCTATATTTACCTACTTCCCTACCTATCTATCTTTCTCTGTCTAGCTTGTCTGTCTGTCTGTCTGTCTGTCTGTCTGTCTGCCTGCCTGCCTGTCTCTACCTACCTACCTATCCGGTCCTTGGTGCTCTCTGAGCTTGATTGTTTATAACATAGATATATAGACATATATAGACATTTGCCTGTGTTTTATACGCGTTAATGAAAGGAACGAACAGGCCAAATCAAGGTTAACAAAATTATAATATTAAAAAAATAAATCAGAAGCTAATAGCTGCAATCATTTGATGGACACCTCCTTGAACTCTTAGAAAAGGAAGGAGGGAGGGGGGAGGAGAGAGGGAGAGGGAGAGAGAGGACTCTGAATTCATCCAAGCTTCTCCAGTCTTTAATAGGAGGCTTTAGTTTACTCCATGTAGGAAATTAGATTTTTGTTGTTCTCCATGGATTCTCAAACTCTCGAAGAGAAAAAGCTTAGTTACCTCCCCCCCCCAATTTGGAAGTGATCCACCTGCATCAGCTGAGTTGCCCGGCCTCTCTCCGTTGGCTGTTATGGATCCAAATGACCCAGGAATCAGCTTGGATCAAATTACAGAATGAAGTCCAAATTTAGAGGGACAGGGTTAGAAATGTGTAAATAAAACCACTTTGCCAGGGACAGAAAAAAGGTGTATGTGTGAGACGGAGGGATCGGATTTGCTGGGAAGCAGGGCGTGTCCTTCGATGGAACCCTCCCCCTCCCCATCACGCCACTGGGGTCCGATTCCCCCTGAAACTTGCTCACAAATGGCCCCAATCATCCAGAAGGCTTGACCACCTGTTGTTCCTTGCCACAATCCCAACTGGGTGTAGATTTAAGACGTACCAGCTGGCTCCCAGCCATGGGAAGCACCTCTCTGCCATTCAAAAGATGGAGGAGATAGACGGTCATGTTCCCCAGATCTGGAAGATGATCTGGGGGTGGGGTGGGGGGCATTCAGATGGCCACAAAGGCCTCTACGAATATTATCTCCAGCAAAGAGAACAGATCTTTCTCTTTCTGTCCTGGCCACTTTTTACAGAGGCACGATTGAAAGCGTTTTAACAAACTGCATCCCTGTTTGGTTTGGTGGCGGCAGCCCCTCCGATAGAAAGTCCCTACAGAGAGTGGCGAGGACAGCGGAGATGATTATAGGAAGCTCGCTTCCCATTATTCAGGATGCGGCTTATAAAGCGCTATGTGCTTAGAAACTCAAAGCCTTGTGAGAGACCCCACACATCCACTTTATGGTCTGTTTCTGTTGCTCCCCTCTGGGAGGAGGTTTCAAAGTATTTCTAGCAGGACTACCAGATTCTGTAACAGATTTATTTATTTTTTTTAATTTGATTTATATGCCGCCCTTCTCCGGAGACTCAGGGCTCTGTTCCCTAGGCCCTCCATCTGGTCAACTCACAAGATTCGTTTTTCACGCCACGTACGTGTATACATCCGAACTAGACTGTGTTGTTTGTCTATGTCATATATGTGGGTGTAGGCATATCTCTGTTTTTATTTATTTTGTCATGTGTATGCGGTGTATATTGGTGATCCTCCGAGAGCTGTATGCAATGAAATTTCATTTTAACGTATGCCGATTAGTGTACATTCAAAGTGACAATAAAGAATATTCTCTTCTGTTCTCTTCTCCCCTCCTCCCTCCCCAGGGTCTCTGGTTAGGCACCCATCCAACAAGTCACTCGGTGGGGATCAGAACCGGCTACCAGCGAGCCACCTGCCCGATTTTCTCAGCCAGTTGTGCCAGGGATGGCCAATGGTGAGGGGAAAGTTAGCCTATTGGCATAGCACAGAAGTTTCCGCGGTGGGGAGGGCAAAAAGAGTCAAGATGGCAGCCATAACTGTGCCATCAAAGCCCCCTCCCCTTTTTTAAAACCTGCAGTGCACGTGATGAAGGGGGCTCCCAAGAATTTCTGGAACATTTGGCAGGGGGTGTGGGAGTCCCTCTAACATTGGGGGAGACCCTCTAACATTTGGCTTCACTCCAGAGGTTCTCGCTAGGACAGGGGACTCCAACCTTAAGCCTGGAGGACTTCAATTCCCAGAATTCCCCAGCCAGCAAAGCCCAGCCAGCAAAGCGGCTGGGGAATTCTGGGAGTTGAAGTCCTCCAGGCTTAAAGTTGCCAAGGTTGGAGTCCCCTGCTCTAGGCTGCCACCTCCATCAGGACAGTGAAGCCATCCCTGGAAGTCACCTGGCGTGCCAGCCCTCTGAGGCTTGATACCCCTTGTTTGTTGGAGCAGGAAGGGGGTCTCCCTGCTCCCAGTCCAACCCCTTCTCTACCTCCCCCCCCACATGGGTCTGGGGCTGAGTGGGAGGGACAGGCGCAAAGCCCACCAGGAAACGCCTGGATTCCTTAAAGGGGACTTTGTGGATAGATGCCCAGTTTCCAGCTCAGCTCTTAGAGCCAGAACAGGTAGTTCTCAACTTATAACCGTTCGTTTAGTGACCGTTCAAAGTTACAACACAGCCCTGGAAAAAAAGTGACTTTTCAGAGTTACGACCGTTGCATCCGCTGTGGTCACACAACCAAAATTCAAGACGCTTGGGAACCCGACTCCTGTTTATGACAGTCGCAATGCCCCGGGGTCATGGGATCGCCTCTTGTGACCAGCCAAGTCAACGGGAAGCCCGATTCACTTAACAACTGCGTTACTTGTTTAAATAACTCCAATGATTCAGTTAACTGAAGAAAGGGAGTAAAAGACGCCAAAACTCACTGAACTTGCTTATAGCAACAGAGATTTGGGGCGCCATTGTGGTCGTACGTCGAGGACTGGCTTCTGGTTGCAGTTTTACCAGTTCATAACTTCTGCAGATCCAGGGCTGGAACCAAAGATTGAAATTCCCGAAGATTGGAGGGAAAAAAAAATAGATGATTTTGCTTCGGTCTGGGGGCACTGGGTCGTATTGTGCTTTAAGAGCATTTTACAGCCAAACGAAGCCTCCGGCACCGTCTGCTCAGGGCCGGAGATCTCTCTCTGCAGACAAAGGCCGGCCCTGCTCAGAGGGAAGATCTTGTGGCCCAAAGGTCCACTCTTGCAGTCCAGTTTCTAAAAATAGAGCATCTCACTCCATCCTGGATCTCTTCCAATCTCTGTCTTTTTTTTTTTAAGACCGTCCCACCCTTGACCGTAAAGTGGAAGACGGCCAGAAGTCCTAATGCCATCGCTTCGAGCATCCTGATTTCCTAATTCTGACCTTGTCTCCAGATCTGGGGGGCAGATCTGGAACACGTAGAAAAGGGGCAGTGTTTATGTCCCACAACTCCCTTCCCCCTTAACCTTGGACCCCCCCATAACCGCATCTAAGCGGTAAAGGGTTGTGGGTCGAAAGTGAGGCCAGAACTGGTGGGCTCAATAGTGGTCCTACTGTACGTTGAGGGCTACTTGCATTCAAGACTGAGACGATGAGACTTTATTAGCCAGGAGCAGCATTTTTTGTCGGGGTGGGGGGTGGGGAATAAAAATTTTAAAAAAGGAGAGAGAAGGTAGAGCTGGCAAGCAGCAAGGCCAGGAGACCTCCACCATTTGAGAGAAGAATCAACCTAACCCTTGGTCTGTAGCTGGGAGTCTGGTCTTTGAGGTGTTTCTTGACTATCCTAAACCCTGCAAAATGGATGGATTTTGATTATTACAGTCTTGTTTCCAAAGAGCAGGAAAGCCTTGCCGGAATTCAGAGCATCGTTCGTAGACACTCACGCAGGTGGACTCCCAAACCAAACCATTTCCGGGCTGAGCCAAGTTACAAACGGATTCTTTGACTCAGAAGCAATTCACCTGAAGAATAGTTTTCAGCAGGCAGGCAAAGAAGTGCCTTTGCAGACTGGATACTGGCGGATCCTTAAATAGGGGGAAGATTACAGGACCCGTTTTTGGGGTGTCAGGCTAGCAAAAGGGCCCCCCTTTGCTCTACAATTTCCTCCCAAGCCTCTGCATTATGGGGCGTTATTCAGCGATTAGAGCAGGGGTGTCAAAGTCAAGGCATGCAGGGCCGGCCTGGAAATGTCAAAGGACTGGCCTGCGGTGCCCCTGCCGACCAAAACAGGCCACGTGAGCCTCCCCATCCTCCAGCAGCACCATGCCAGCCAAAAACGGCCAGCAGAATGCTGCAGAAGGCCAAAAACAAGGTGCAGCCCACGCCCTCATTTTGGCCAGAAGGGTGCAAGAGGCATCCGTCTCCCTCCCCTACCGGCCTACGGAGAAGAAATACAATGCTGCACCGGCCCTTATTTATTTATTTAATTTATATAATTATTTATATAATTGAAGAAACCCAGTTTGACAACCCTGATTTACAACATTTATGGGTTTTTTCCTTTCTAGTTTCAAATTTTACAAAAAATAGAACAGAAGAAAAAGGGAAAGGGAAAGCAAGCATAAAGAAGAAACCCCAGGGATTTTCACTCGGGTTAAAATTTTACCCTTGGAATAGTTTCTTACCCTCTTTAGTTTTTTCCTTTGTTAGATGTAAAAATAACAAAAAAACCTTTCAGGAAAACAAACCACAATATATATATATATTGTGTATATATTTGGCAGCAGCTGCCATATATTTGCAAAAAACGTTTTCTTTTCTACACGTACAAATTTTAACACTTGAAGTGTAAAGCTCAGACTCTGGTAGAGAAAGTTCTTGGGAGGACAAAAGTAGACTTCGGAGGGGAGACTGGATTTCTTAATATTTTTTCCAGTTTTTAAAAGAATTGACATCTTTCCAACCAAGGAAGAAAATTATTGTTTTATATATATCTAAATTATAACTATCAATATTTTCATTTATTAAAAAAAAAAAAAACAAACTGTTTGAGGCTAGTGAAGGAAGTCATTTGGTCAGCAGCCAAACAACTATCTGCTCCCAAGCACCTTCCCCAACACGTGCGAAGGGAAACTGTAGGAATCTGCAGTCTGCGTATGTGCAGGGATTTTCCTATCTTGGATGGCAAACCTCAGATAAGGAAGGTTCCTTGCACGTAAGCGCCAGGAAATGACATTAGAAGACCCTAACTCTGTAAACAAGAGGAACAGGAGGAGAGGAAGTGGGATGTGTGTTAGATTTTAATTATAGCTAAATATTAGAAGTGCTTAAGCCAGCAGTAATGATTAACCTGTGACAGTGATGGCTAACCTTTTTGCTGCCATGTGCCAAAAGTGGGGGAAGTGTGGGAGGGACGCGGGTAGGCGTGCCCACCTCCATAATTCAAACGCATGTGTCCTCCCACGCATAGGCATGTGACCCCCCCCACGCTCCCCCCTGCTTTTGGCACAAGATGGCACGGTGGGTCCAGTAGGCCCGTTTTTTGCCCTCCCCAGGCTCCAGAGGCTTTCGGAGCCTGGGGAGGGCGAAAATGGCCTTCCCCACCCCACCGGAGGCCCTCCGGAGACCAGAAACGGCCCATTTCCCAACTTCCAGTGGGACCAGAAGATCCATTTTTCGCCCTCCCCAGACTCCAGAGGCTTTCTAGGAGCCTGGGGAGGGCAAAAACTGCCTTTCCCACCCATCCCCAGAGGCCTTCCAGAGGCCAGAAACAGCCCGTTTCCCGACTTCCAGTGGGACCGGAAGGCCCGAAAATCAACTGGCCGGTGCACTTGCGCACTGGACCTGAGCTAGGGCAACACTTGCGTGCCCACCGATATGACTCCACGTGCCACCCGTGGCACGCGTGCCATAGGTTCGCCATCACGGACCTATAACTTAAGTTACCTGGAAGATTCTGTGAGCCAATGATATGCTGCCAAGTACGCTGTAACTTGAAAGTAATGACTAGTGACTATATAATGTCACTATGTAAGACAATAAAGATACCACATATATTCTCAACCTTTGTTTGTGTGGTCACTCAACAGGAAACAAAAACAAACGAACAAACAAAAAAAAAGGACTGGTTACAGTCCCAGCCATAACAAAAAATATATTTTCTTTATTCCATTGTCCCCCATTTCAGTTGGTTTTTTAAATTTTATTTTAAACAAACTACTGTTGAAGGCAACCCTTGCTGTTGTCCCTCTATGCCTTCACCCTCCGGATGCTTTCATCTTCCTCAGGAGCATCTGGGCCTGTTGTAGGCGACGCTGACGCTGACGAAGTTTATGTTTGATGTTTAGGCAAAATGGCACTGGACACTTGATCTCCTGGCAGTGCTTAGCATGGTAGCAGCAAAGAGCAATGAGTTGTTTGCAAACTGGACACCCTTCATTGGCTTTGGCTTTGCATCTTTTGGTGTGCTGGACAACTCTCTTCATTTTTTGACATTTTGGAAATGAACAGTTGACATTGTGGCACTGGCAGGCATGAACTAAAGACTGGATGCAGCGCTGGAGAGACAGGCGATATGAATCAGCACGACTCTGAGTGGCAGCTGCCCGTTGGTTGTTGCTCTCATCATCAATACCGAGGCCCGGTTTCTCCATCTTGTGCTCAGGGTTTTCAGTGTTATTGTGGGCAATGCCCAAGTCATCATCCTAAACAGAGAATTATCGTCAGCAGCAACAATATGGCATTAAAATGAAGTAGAGATACCTTCTGAGACTGACAATATTATTATAGGCCATCAATTCTATTTAAGATGTGTGGACTCCAACGCTCAGTATTCCCTAGCTAGCATGGTAGCTGGCAGGGGTGAAATACTACCGGTTCGCACAAACCTATAGTGAGAAAAACTACCGTTTCGGGTGAACCGGTAGTAAAAAAAAGCATGTGCCAAAAGAAGGCTTGGAAGTTAAGTAGAACAGCGAGGGAGAAGTGGGGAATCAGCTATGTCACGTGGTTTAGCTTTGCTAGAAAGCAGGAAATCCTGCTTTCTAGCAAAGCTAAACCGCACAGCACAGCTGATTGTCGGATAGTAGCTTTTTTAAACTACCGGTTCGAGCTTTTCAAACGTGCAGCGCACATTTGGTGCACACTGCGCCTGCAGCGCGCACTTGGCGTGCATGCACAGCCAGCAAACCGGTAGCAAATCGCTTCAGATTTCACCACTGGCAGCTGGATAATTTTGAAAGTTGAAGTCCACATATCTTAAAATTGCAAAGTTTGAAAAATACTGTCCTAGAATTAAACTGACAATACTGAATTTATACAGCTCCATCCTGACCTAATTTCAATAAGCTCTCAAGGTTACTTGTGTGATGCTTTGCTTTTTGTGTGACAGATTGCAGTAGTCAATAAATTTTATAAATGCACAAGCAAGTAAGTTACATTGTAAGTATGATTACTCTGAATGATCTCAGGGTAGAGAGAATCTGGATTAAAATAGTATTATCTAAGAATTAATGGAAATCAAGCTATTGATTCACAAGTCACCTATAGGCTTTGCAAATGCTATACCATAGCACCGTGATGGTGAACCTATGGCACGCGTGCCATTTTAAATATACTTTAAATATAACAAATATATTAAGAATTTAAATTAGTATTTTGCTATTCTGCTAAAATGCATCTAGAAACAGCTGAATTCCACAAAAAAACCCAAGAGTTACTCTGCTCTCATTGTTCATATTCCAAATTCTTTTTACTGCACTGTTCCCATACTATGTTCCACCTGCTAGAATAGCTGTCAATAGCAGATATACAGAATAATGAGAACTTGGAATTATCTCCCTATTTAAATATGTTATATACTTATAACTAATTTCAATACAGCTATGTGAGACAGCTACGTTAATTTGGTAATAGGTAATTTTAAAAAGGCAAAAGAATCTAACAACAGGGAATTGAAGGAATAGTGTTACAATGCTGTTTATCGTGTTTATCGTGCAAATTTTCGGAAATCAGTAGTCACTGATCCATGTTGATCTCCTTAAGTAAAACTGAAACGGCCCAGGAGCCTGTGCGCGGCCTGTTTTCAGCTGGCAGAGTGCTGCAGGACTAGCTTGGACTGGATTACAATTATGTGGCCTCAAGTAAGTGCCTGATCTGGATAGAAAACAAGCATTTTATTAAAATGAATTTGATAAAAATAAAAAATAAAAAACATTCCGATTTAAATTAAAAAAAAAACAATTTAAATTTCCAAATATCTGATTTTTTTTAAAAAAATCTATTTTTACCCATTCTGTTTTGCATTCAATGCAATAATTTGGGTCTTGAAAAGTAGCATCATGTTATTTTACATCTACGTTTTCCAAAACGCAAGATTCAAGTCACAAAGCCAATATAATCTTCTCTCACATATTCTATTATTAGTGCTACTCTTAAGAACGATAATTATTAGCCTTTGGAGTTTTTAACACTTGCAATTAGACAAATTATTAACTTATTACCTCATGCACAATCATTCTACATATGGAAAACCTTCCATATTTATAAATTCAAGCAACTTTTTTGGATAATGTACTATACCTAGACTCCTATAGTCTTCAGGGTTATTATACAGTTCATACCCATGTAAAATTTATCCTTAATATGCATTGATAAGGTTATGTATAGGTTTGTGTTATATGTATTATATGTTTCATCTGCAAACATGCTGGAGGCATCTGGCAAGACACCCAAAAGCATCCCTAAAGGATGACACTTTGAAACTGTATTTTTCATTGTCAATATTCAAAATAAAACCTTTGACATACCTTGTTCATTGCTCCAGGCTGTGGACCTCTCAGGCTCGCCTGCCCTCCCATTTGAGGAGAACCTTGCTGTGATGTCTCTGCAATTAGAATATCAGCATTTCCCATTCCTGGGTTTGGATATGACATATTGGAATATCCTCTTCCAGCTCCAATTGAACCATTCATAACTTGTCCTTGCATCATTCCTTGCCCATTTCCTGCAGACAACACAGGATTCATGCCAGCATTCATTCCCATTCCGGGCTGATTTACTGGACTATTTACTGTTGGCATCATTCCTGCAGTGGACTGTGTTGACGGACTTTGATTTGGCCCACCTGTACCCATCCCCAAATTTGGATATGTCAGTGCAGCCTTCAGAAGCAGCATTCCAAATTACCTCATGTATCCAACCAGCATTCAGACAAACACACACACACACATACACCCTATCAAATACAAATCAGCCATTTCCCCCTGCATTTATATATGCAGTACAAAACAAATTCAATGAACAAGTCTGGCTACCATTAATAATCAGAATGTCTACATTTTTGGCTGAAGGATTCCAGTTAATTTCTTCTGATAAAATGAAAAGAACTATTGCACAGACTAATCCTAAACTCAGGAAAACAACACAATTTTTCTTTTGCAATCAATTTTTCGGAGTATAAGACGCTCCGGACTATAAGACACACCTACCTTTTTTGGTGAGGAAAACAAGAAAAAGAAATCTGCCTCTGCCTCCCAGAAATTTTGCCTTGTTGCAGCAAACAGCCTGGTTTACTTTCATATTCGTTTTCAGCATAGCTTGATTAGCACAAGAAAAAAAATCTACTCCCAGCAATGTACCTCCATGCAGCAAGCAGCAGAGGCCTCTGCAACAATAGGCAATGGCAATCCCTGCAGCCTGAAACAGCTGAGAGCCGGGAAGCCGATCCAAAGGACAATCAACTTGTGCTAATTAGGCTGTGCTGAAGCTGAAATGGACTGTTTCTTCTTGCTGCTTGCTGCGAGGCAGGGGCCAAAGGGTGGGGGCCAGTGGGTGGGCGGGGCTACATTCAGTGTATAAGACACACCCAAATTTTCATCCCCTTTTAGGGGGAGGGGAAGGTGCGTCTTATACTCCGAAAAATACAATAGGTGCCTGAACTTCAGACATTTTAGTCTCTGAACAAAACCAGATGACCAAGTCTATATTGTTTTTCAGTATTAATCTAATGAAGCTGTCTTAACAAAAGCACCAAAAAGAATTCTATCAGCAACTGTAATCACCTCTTTATGAAACAATATTAGTACTAAATAATTGATGGAAGTAAAGGAAATTAAAACTTAGCCATCAGAACACTGGTAAGATGAAAAATAAGGACTCTTCAGATTAAACGAGTTTAAGATTTGAAGAAAAGACTCTTATCAATACACAGATAATAACTATGCAACAAAAGATCACTTTTTACAAGATTTCAAGTGCTGCAAGCCCTCAGAGGTAAGGATCAACTCATTTACAGCCTCTTCAAAAGAAATAAAACTTAATGTCAGTTAGACATCCAAAGTAATATGGCAAAATATAAGCTAAAAACAAGTAGATAGCAAAAAAGGCTGCCCCAAAAAAGAGAGTCTGTTTGTGATAAGGTAAAATGAAGGGATCTATGCCCAAGACTGACCTGTGCCATCGCTTGCAGAGACAGACAGTGCCGGTGAAGAAAGTTTAGGCCTCTTGGCTGAAGGCGAGCCCGACTCCACCACATTCTCGGCCATTTTTAATCCTTTTTAGACAAACAAGAACCCGTATTGAAGATGGGGGATCCCCAAGGCCCTCAGCCGTTTCCTGTGATCCAAAATCAACCGAAAAGCAGTATGGAAATTGATGGCCATATATGGCTTTTCAATATTTATTTATTTATTTATTTAATTAATTAATTTCTATACCGCCTTTCTCCCGTAGGACTCAAGGCGGTGTACAGTCAAGAAAAATATAGATACACAAACATCATAAAATTGCTAATTAAAATTATTATTATAACATAGTTTGGCCCAATTAAATAGAACTTAAAATTAGGTAACATTAGATAATATCCCAATTGGTTATCAGACTCCCAGGGGATGGGGTTTTTAGCTGGCCTTGCTGGCTGATGAAATCTTCCCAAGAGCCATGTGGTGAGTTTCTGTTGCTAGATGGGTCCTATTGTGTTGCAGATGATGGTCCATTGACAAAGGGTGGGGGGGAATTGAGTTTCTGCCTCTGGCCCATTGACAAAGGGGGGGGGACACAGGAAGATGGGAGCTGCTTCGTCTTTAAAACATGCTTCTCCATTTCTCATCCAGGGAAACATAATATTCTGCCTTTTTAATATTTTCCAAAATATTTCATTCTTCTAGGAAAGGGGTGGGTGCTAACTTCCTATTACAATCTCAATCCATTTGGGAAGAGTCGAAGAGGCCGCGCTTGCAACCTCTTTTTATTTTTATTTTATTTTCATGTTTCTCTCCAATAAATCTTTGATTTTGTTAACCAGACTTGTCTTGGGAATTGTGAGTATAAAATTTTGGGGATTTTAAATCTCACCCATGAAGAATTTGGTTGGAATCTCATCATGGGGAAGAACAGGCCCACTAACGAAGAAATCCGTTATCAAGAAATCAGCTTTCAGGTTATCGAAAACCTTGTCCAGAACATTATGAAAATAAGGATTCTAAATCTTTTTGAGGAATTCTTGGGAGTTGGAAATCCACCAAGGTTGGAAAACAGGGTGTGGGAAGCAGTCTTTTCTCCGGGCCAAAGGGGGGAAAAAAACAAGGATGAAAAGAACAAACCCCTTCCTATACTCCATTAAATGGGGGGACTCGGTAAATTTACCAGTCGAATTAAAGACTCAATGGCCAGAAAGAACTGGAGTGGAGTCCTCGTGTTTCTAGCCCCAGGGGTGTCAACCGACCTCCCCTCACAAACGACAACCACAATGCTGATCCGGCCCTCCATTAAAAAATCGAGTTTTTTATAAATCGAAACCGAGAATTCGTACTCCCCTACCGGCTACGAGGCTACTAACGGTGAGGTAAATCATGGAAGTTTCAGAGTTGCCTCAGGTCGGTCTGTCTGTCTGGGCGAGCGGGTCCCCCTGAATTTCTAACGGCCTCCGCCGCTGTTTTCCACATCTTACCTGTGTTTTTTTTTTTGTTGTTGTTCGCACCCTTGAATCGCTCGCGCCGACAAAATGGCGGCGGCTTCTTCCTCAGCTCTCCAGTTGGCAGTTGAAGCGAGCTGGAAAGGAGATGAGAGAGAAGGGCGTGTCCCAAAAGGAAAAGGCGGGAAACGCAAAGCAGCTGGCGCGCCTGCGCGCGCAATGGACCGCGGAGGGCTGAGGCAGGAGGAGGAGATTCCGAGGCCAGCTCCGGTCACGAGACTAAACTCACCCAATCGGCTTGTTATCCTTAAGTCAAGTGGGGGAGTGTCCAACCTTGGCCACTTTTAAGCCTGGAGGACTTCAACTCCCAGAATTCCTCAGCCAGCTTTGCTGGGAGTTGAAGTCCTCCAGGCTTAAAGTGGCCAAGGTTGGACACCTCTGCAGTTTCCCATCTCTGACTGGGGAATTCTGGGAGTTGAAGTCCTCCAGGCTTAAAGTGGCCAAGGTTGGAAACCTCTGCAGTTTCCCATCTCTGACTGAGGAATTCTGGGAGTTGAAGTCCTCCAGGCTTAAAGTGGCCAAGGTTGGACACCCCTGACTTAAGTGATTCCCTCCCGCAAACGTATCTTTTCTTTTATGTACATTTAGAGCATATGCACCAAAGACAAATTCCTTGTGTGTCCAATCACGCTTGGCCAATAAACAATTCTGTTCTGTTCTGTTCTGTTCTGTTGTTGTTGTTGTTCTGTTCTGTTCTGTTCTGTTCTGTTCTGTTCTGTTCTGTTCTATTCTATTCTATTCTATTCTATTCTATTCTATTCTATTCTATTATTCTATTCTATTCTATTCTATTCTATTCTATTCTATTCTATTCTATTCTATTCTATTCTTCATTATAATATCTATATACTGCCCATGCTTTTCTTCAATTTCATTTGTATGTTTGCTAACATGAAGATTGACATTATCTTTTCTTTTAGTATTTACTGTTAGCGGTTTCTATTTTTACTTTCAGAACAAGTTTCTCTTAAGTTTTCTACATCACAAATAGCTAGTATTTCTACAAATGGTGCTATGCCAAATACAATTTAAGCTTTATTTCCATCAATGGCTTGTTAGGAGGTGACAAAAGGATCATACGATCCTGAGACATTGCAGCCATCATAAATACATGTTGTGGCTCGCCAGCTGCCAGCGGAGCTGGCGGCAGACTTGGACGATGAGGAGGTTGGAGAGGAATTTGGGCCAGTTCTGGAGTCTGGGGAAGGTTCTGATGGATGCTCTGCATCGGATGCAGAGATAGAGCCAGGGCCGTTTGACATTTCCCAGCCACCGGAGAGGCATCTGCTTTTGGAGGCTGCTATGAGTGAGGAGGAAGAACAGCTGGGGCCTGTTCCAGATGCACATATGTGCAGAGTAGTTAGGAGAGGTGAACAATGGAGGACAAGGAGTCGACTCAGGAAGCAAGGCACACGTGGATGCTGAATGGCCCCTCCCTGGCTGGGGAATAAATAGAAGGAAAGGGGTGTGGTTGTCGTAGAAGACAACAGTTTGTATTTCTGGAGATTTTGCTCATTGTGTTTCGTGCATCAAAGATGGCTTGCCAGAACTTAATTTGCAGCCTTATAGTTATCGCAAGGAACTGATAAGGTGTGTTGCTGCATTTAACTCCTTGCAGGACTTTTGCTTGGACTTTTCGGTGGGTGAATGCCATTAATTCACAAGAAGTAAATAAAGAGGGAGTTTTTTGTGACAAGGAGTCCGGTTTCTTGCTTCGGCTAAGGCTGGGTCAGAACAATGCAAGCCAGTTGCCAAGCGTCCAAGTTTTGATCACATGACCATGTTGCGCCGGTCATAAGGGTGAAAAATAGTCATAACTCACTTTTTTCAGTGCTGTCATAACTTCAAATGGTCACTTAACAAATAGTTGTAAGCCAAGGACTATATGATGAATTCATTCCATGTTCATATACCTTCCTCTGATATAAGGAATACAAATTGGTGACTTCATGACATAGCTAGAATTTATTGAGGTTAAACCTTTTGGATGAAAAGTCCTCAATAAAACCATCATAATGTTGGTGTTTTTCAATTTTATTATCAACTAGCTGATAACCCGGCGTTGCCCGGGTATTTCTTATCCCAATCCTGAAATTGCTCGAGGCGTTCCAGAGTTATGCTGGAACACACACACACACCCCTACACCTAGGGTTGCTAGGGGTGTCTTACCCCCACAATATTTATTTCCAGATAGCAAGTCATCTGTTTACCAAGTTTGGTTGAAATAGCTCGAGTTGATCCCGAATGATGCTGGAACACACAGACACCCTCCCCAGGGGTTTCTTAGCCCCCAGTATTTGTTTCCAGAGTGTAAGTCATCTGCGTACCAAGTTTGGTTTAAATTACTTGAGGAGTTCCAGAGTTATGCTGGAACATACATACATACAGCCTTTTTTATATAGATAGTAGACGATAGAAGAGGAGGAGGAGGAGGAGGAGGAGGAGAAGAAGAAGACGAAGACGAAGAGATCATCACTAGTCTACTGATTGAAAATTTACTTACTAAAAATAGGCTGTACAAATACATTGGTGCAGTTGGCTGCCTAGCTAAGGGGAAGAGGATCATTCAACTGCCTTTTTTCATTTGCTGAGCTTGTGCCAAAATTGGAGGCACCATCCAGTACGGGACCCTGGGCAAAAGAAGTTTGTCCACTTCTAGAGCAATCTCTGCATTTGATCTGAGTTGCGTAATATACCTGATTTGCCCCTTCTTAGCGGGGCATGTAGGACAGCAAGGGTAAGATGGCAGCATATGCCTACTTAATAAGTCTTTACAGAATGGCTTGAAGCATTGCACCAACAAATACACACATGGTTTTTGCAATTACAGGAGAAACAGAAAGTTTGAGAGATCTTGTTGGCCTTATAAAAGAGAAGCATTTCCGGGCAATTGCAGAAAATGGTTATTTCTTCATTTATTTATTTAGAACACTTATTTGGCCATCCAACTCAAACTATGTGGCATTGGGCAGTGTACAAAACCCTTAAACAAAACCCTTAAAGAAGAATGGCACACACTACTAAAGCAAACTAAAACAATTAAATGACACAAACTATTTATAAATGTCCAGGGAAAATGTCCAGGCCTGCAAGCCATAGCTGTCATGCCCCATTAGAGGCTCTTCATGATCAGTGACTACTGATGGAAGCCATTTAACGCAACATGGGGCTGAGAGAACGACCATGGATTCACACATTCTGCAGTGGCAAATTTCTGAGTTTTACACTAAATCTCCCAGGTGTTTTCTCCCCCATTTCCAGGCGTACATCATGAGTAAAAAAAAAAAAAGGCAGACTGAACCTTCATATAGCTTTTATTAGAAAGGATACAATCCAAGTTTATTAACAGGCGATAGGACACCAAGGGCTTCCACACGCAGGAATTGGAAGGAGAGAAAACACCCTGAAGATCACAGGATCTGCTGTCAGAACATCAGCGAGTTGGAGTGAACTTTTCCAGAATGTCTCCCATCTTTCTAGGCTCTAGCAAAACAGGAAATGATCCTGCTGGTGACGCTTATTCATAAACCAAGGACAAGGAAAAGCACTGTCTGTTTACTTTGTGGGTATATTTACCGCTTAGAGAGGGCTGTAAAAGCACTAAAAAGTGGTATATAAGTCTATGTGCTATTGCTACCTTACCCTTTCAGTATAAATCTCTTGTTTATGCTTCCTTAAAGAGAATTTAAGCAAGCAAGGAAGCAAGCAGACAAAGAGTGTCTACGGAGATTCTCAGTCATCCAGGTTGTCCCAAAGGCGCTTTTTCAAGAGGCAACTGGACTTTCTGGTTTTTCTTTGAAAACTTTTCGCTTCTCATCCAAGAAGCTTCTTCAGCTCTTGGATGTGAAGCGAAATGTCTTCAAAGAAAAACCACAAAGTCCAGTTGCCTCTTGAAAAAGCACCTTTGGGACAAGCAGACAAAGAGTTTCTGTTAGGAAGGCTTAAAGTCACCTCTGAGTGAAATGTTACCTTATAGTGGAAAAGCGTGATTCCTTGGTCCTACAGGTTTGTAGCCTCCTTCAGAGCTATTGACAAGCATGCCCATTAAAGGGACCGGTCTGCTGAGAGCCAGATTGACACAGTGGTTCTTCCAGGGGACTCAAAACCAGGAGATGGCGAGTTCTAGTCCTGCCTCAGGCATGAAAGCCGACTGGGTAACTTTGGACCAGTCCCTGGAAGGGCAAAACACTTCCAAAATTGTGGCTAAGGGAATATGCATGAATGTGTCCCCGTAGTTGCCAAGAGTCAAAACTGGATCAACAGCGTAAACCTCCTCCCTAAACTCCCAGATTTTATGTTTTATGTTTTATTTGATTTGTATACCGCCCTACTCCCGAAGGACTCAGGGCGGTGAACAGCCAAGCAATAAAATACATAAATACAAAAATTAAAAAAAAAAAAAAATCTGATATCTGAGATGCAATTACTTGTCCAACTCTATATATTCCTGATAATTGACAACTCAGAGGAATCCAGCTGTTGCTGAACTATAATTTCCAGCCTCTTTCCAACACTGACTACCTGGCTATCACCCAGGGCATTTGTCTAGATTTGTGAAGACTCTGTCCCAACTCTCTCGAGTAATAATTTGGGGGCCTTTATCTCATCCATGCTGTGGGCGAACTCAGGAGGAACAGCTGGGCTCCCACCCTCTGCCCCAGCAAGCAGCTGCCTTCCTTTCCCTAACCTGAGGCGGCCCCCCCTTTCAGCCTTTGAGCAGCTCTTCTAGACAGCGTTTCACGCCAAAGTACCTTTTTCCACAAAGTCCTCAGGATGGTTCTTTATGTAACTGAAAAGCTCCCTGTCCCGCTCAGCGTAGTAGTAATTGGAGTATCTCTTGATGTAGTAGCCCAAACAGAAGCCCAGCGTGGTCATCAGGATTTGACGATGGACGCCTGGAAAAGATCAAAAGAGCACAAGTGGAAATCCGCAAGCGGCACATGAAAGGATGTACAAGCAGGAGGTTGTACTAGCATAGTGCCTACAAACTAAGTTGTGAAGAAGACGGGCTGAACATGGTCCGGATTGAGATTACTAAATCTGCCTTCTTTATTCCCCCCGTCATTTTTCTCCTTCCTTCCCTTCTTCTTCTCCTGAATCCAAAGTGGAACTGTCCCTTCCTCAGCTCTGTCCTGGCAGACCAACCTGGATACCGGCTGACCATCACCTCCCACCCCAGCCCACCCCAAGCACATCTTCCCACATTAAGGCTGCTAGGGCATGCCTGGTATTCAGTTTCCATGCCATTCCCTACAAGCAGTCACCATTTTAAAAAAGGGAACAAAAGCGAATTCCTTGATTGTCTCGGAGCTTGGCTGTTTGCTTGCAGAGATTCATTGCCCATTGATCGTATTATCAGTGCCAGGGAGTGTGGGGTTAGGTGCCTTATACATATAGTATCCTGCCCTGTAAGTGTTGAGGGGGGTGCAGTTTATTCCCTGGTGTTTCCTTGATTGCATACAGTTTTTTGTTTTTATCCCTGATTTTTTTTGTCTGGTGATAATCCCCGTTTATTTGACTGTGGGCTGCAGGAGAGGATGTATCCTGGTCTTTTCATTTCTATTTTTTTTTTTAGTGTCTCTTTTGAACGGTGTGTAAATATAGTTTGTCTCTACATGTCTACTGATGGCTGATTTGTCTGAAGGCCAAACTTCCACGGATTCCCTACTTGGTGTGACCTTAGCCAGTTCCTCTCTCTGTCTGACCCACCTCGCAGGGTTATTGTGGGGGGAAGAATGGGAGGGCATTAGTTGAGCCTTGATACAACATTGGGAGGTGAGAGAACAATCCAATAAATAATTAAATTCCTGCCAGTTTTGGCAAGGGTACAGTTTACTCCTTTGTAATTCCTTGATTGCATACAGTATTTTTTTTTCTCCCTGAATTTTTTGTCTGGTGCTAATCCCCATTTATCTGACCTCGGGCTGCAGGAGAGGATGTGTTCTGGGTCTTTTCCTTTCGAATATTTTTATTTGAACGGTGTGTAAATATGATTTGTCTCCATCTGTCCGCCGATGGCTAATTCGTCTTAAACTCAAGACTTTTAGGATTTCCTAACATTGGAATCAAAATTATTATTTATAGATTGGGCTTGGTCTAAGAGACTAATAGAGGTCATTCGGTGTGACCTTGGCCAATACCCCTCTCTCTCTAAGCCTGACCCACCTCGCAGGGTTGTTATGGGGGGCAGAGATGGGGGGGCATTAATTCTGCCTTGACCCCAAATAGGGACCCAAGAGGACAACCCAATAAATAACTAAACCCTCCATTTGGGTCCACCAGGAAGGGCCCCCTTGGGAGCATCGACTCCCAGAGGTCAGACCAGGATCCTCCGGTCTGTGGCTTCTTTTGGCTCCCCCTCGGTTGTGGATTATGGGTATGGGGGGCTATGGATTATGGGTATGGGGGGCTGTGGATTATGGCCATGGGGGCTATGGATTATGGCCATGGGGGGGAGGCTGTGGATTATGGGCATGGAGGGTTGTGGATTATGGGCAGGGGGGAGGCTGTGATTATGGGCATGGAGGGTTGTGGATTATGGGGATGGGGGGCTGTGAATTTTGGGCAGGGGGCCTGTGGATTATGGGCACAGGGAGATGTGGATTATGGGCATGGGGAGGCTGTGGATTATGGGCAGGGGGAGGCTGTGATTATGGGCATGGAGGGTTGTGGATTATGGGAATGGGGAGGCTGTGGATTATGGGTAAGGGGCCCTTCCCTTCTGCCTTTATAGTTGGGAGAGCTGCGCGTGAGGATCAGCGGCGCGGAGTCCGAGACGGGGATCCAGTCCCGGGGACCCTTCGCAGCCCGTCCAAGGGCGAGAGAGAGAGAGAGAGGGAGAGGCGGGGAAAGGACGGGAGGCCACCGGGAGGGCCTGGCCACTGACCGGCTCGCAGGGCGGGCCTGCGGTTGAGGCCGTTGTCCAGCAAGGCGCTGAGCCAGAAGACGCCCGCCATCCAGACCGACGGGAAGTTGAGCAGAGGCGGCGGCGGCAGCAGCGAGCGCGCCTCCTTGGGGATGCCTAAGCGGACCTGCATGGCGGACGGTCAGAGCGGGGGACGGTCCTGCCCGCAACGCCTTCCCCGCACCCGCCGCGCCCGCCGAGGAAGGTTCCGCCGCCCCTCCCTCCCTCCCTCCCACGCGCAGGGGGCGGGGCTACGTCGAGGCTGGCCCGTCTCGGCCGCGGAGCTCGGATTGGCTGGCAAGCGGGGCTCTGATTGGTTGGGAGGCGGGGCTCTGAGCCACCTTGGGAGGTTCCTTTCTGCCAAAGTGGAGATTTTCAAATGCAGTCCTCGATTTTCAATAGTTCATTTAGCGACCGTTCAAAGTTGGAACGGCACTGGGGAAAAAAAAGGGATTTATGTCCGTTTTTCACACTTAATGACCATGGCAGCATTGCTATGGTCACGTGATCAAAATTTAGCTGCTTGCCAAACTGGTTTGTATGGAAGAGTGGGATTTGCAAATAGAGAAATGAATGAATGCAGCAACGCCCGAGAAAAGAAAGAAAGAAAGGCAATTGGATCAAGATTGCGAATCTGATCGGATTGGCTTGCGTAATATATCTGCAATGATAAATTCCAGACAGACAAGGGAACAGATACAAAACCAAATCCTTTATTCACATTTTCGTTTTTGTGCCCCTGCATGATAATAACTTTTTCTAGAGAACAGTGATTCCGTAATATAGAGTTGGGGAATTCAGCCTGTGTCCTTTTCTTGGGTAGATGCAAAGTCCATCTCTTAGATTGGCAAATGTCTTTCCTTATAATTCAAATGTTTTTCCTTACAATACACATCAGTTAGATGGAGTGTGCCTATTTCAATTTTAAGTAATTATCTCCTTCAATCCACGTCATCGAACTGGGGAGAAAGAATAGTTCCCGTTCTCTTTGTATTTGTATCAGCACATCCCTATGGCCTTTGCAATGATTAAAAAGAATAATAAGAAAAAAACGTTGATTTTGTTTTCTTGCTACAGCAATTATGGAAATAACCCAATATTGCATTCAGGTTGCACTGGTTTAAAAAACCGATTAGTTTCAGGTCCCCAAGACTTTAAAGAACGAGTTTGAAAGTTCCATTTCTGGAATTGGACAGGACATCCCATGTTGGCAGCTGTTGCGGTTGTGAACTTTTTTGGAACGATCCTCCCCGGCTTGGAACCCAATGATAGATAGATATATCATTGTTCTTTCTTTGATTTGCCTTCCGATGGGCCTGTGAAGGCCGAGATGTAGAGCTTGAGCCAGGCATAAATGACGCCGGCAGCACAATACACCGAGGTGAGCAACAGAGGCAAGAAAGGCAGTTTTTGAGCCCAGGAAGTAAAAGGGAACACAATTTCACAGACGATTTCTACGGGTATCAGCCCAATGAGGTAGACTGCTTCCAGCCAGTTAAGCAGAGGCTCGTTCCTATGGAGACAGGACAAGAGGGAAGGATTTTTTTAAAATAAGATTTTGTTTTTATCTACCCTGTTTTTCCCCAAAATAAGACATTCCCCTGATAATAAGCCCAATCGGGCTTTTGAGCTCATGGCAATAAGGCCAAGCGTTTAATTCAGGGTACAAAAAACTGTAAGACAGGGTCTTATTTTCAGGGAAACATTCTATCTATCTATCTATCTATCTATCTATCTATCTATCTATCTATCTATCTATCTATCTATCTATCTATCTTTCTTTCTTTCTTTCTTTCTTTCTTTCTTCAACACCCGTGGTGGCGCAGTGGTTAGAATACAGTAGTGCAGGTTGACTCTGCCCAGTCAGGAGTTTGATCTTATTGCTGTCTGTCTGTCTGTCTTCCTTCCTTCCTTCCTGTCTCTCTCTCCCTATCCCTATCTATCTATCTAGATGGAAGGAAATTGCCTAGACTCACATGATCGACATAATCATCTGACTCAGCCAAATCCTATTGCTGCTCTCTAAGGTTGGTTGCTTCCTTGCAGATGTTTCATTACCCAAACTTGGTGGTAACATCGTCAGTGTGCTGATGTTGTTACCTAGTGGGGTGATGAAACGTCTGCAAGAAAACAAGCAACCTCAGAGAGCACCAAGGACCCCACAGTCCTCCTCCTCCTCTTTATCATAAACCCCACTCCCTTCTAACACTGATGGCGTTACCTAGTAGGGTGATGGAACATCTATAAGAAAACAACCAGAGATTATCAAGGACCTCTCATTTCAACCACGAGCTACAAATATTCTCCTTTATTGGTAGCTTAACCGTCGCTAAAATGGGACAGTGTGCAAAACCGAATCGCTCGGCAAAGGGGAAGTTTTTTCTCTTTATTTGTAAAATTGTTTCCTTCTTACCTGAACAGGGCCTTGAGGGAGGAGAAACTGTACACTGAAAAGAGGAGCATCAGCAGTATTTTAATGGGCAGCTCTGAAAGACAAAACAATGAAAGATTTTGTAGCAGTATGACAGATATATTCCGGGTAAAAGTATTCCCGTTTTATGTATCCTGTGTCATGCCGAACTAGGCCCTGCATACACTGGAAGAAGACAGGTTGGTCATGGATTGGCATGTATGGCCTAGACCTGCCGACTCGGTTGCGCGACCTGCTCTCTTTTCTGTGGGAAATGGGTCCAAATGGCTCTTTTGAGTGTTTAAGGTTGCAGACGCCTGGCCTAGACAAAACGGTAGAGGCTCTGCTTAAATCAATGCTGTGGGGATTTTCTTCAGGCTAGTAATTCATCCTCTCCCACATGGGAATACAGACTTGATCCAAGCACTACCAAACCATTAACAGTAGGGCAAATCTGGACCCAGTCTGGTGCTATAGTAAGGTGCTGGACTAGAGACCAAGGCAGTCCTAAGTTGCATTGACAGAGGGATAGAATCAAAATCACATGAAGTGTTTGCACCACTTTATAATGCTTTAGTAAGACCACACTTGGAATCCTGCATCCAGTTTTCGTCGCCACAATTAAAAAAAAAGATGTTGAGATTCTGGAAATAGTACAGAGAAGAGCAACAAAGCACTGTAATTTAACACCAGCTGTCTGCAATTAAAGTAAGTTCGAATCTCCCCAGGCTCAAGTTGACTCAGCCTTCCATCCTTTCTAAGGTAGGTAAATTGAGGACCCAGTTTGTGGGGGCAATAAGCTGACTTTGTATAAATATACAAAAGTATTGCTTAACGCACTGTAAGCCGCCCTGAGTCTCCGGAGAAGATTAAAATTAAATCAAATTTAAAAAAAAAAACAAAGATGATGAGGGGACTGGAGGCTAAAACATACGAAGAACGGTTGCAGGAACTGGGTGTGTCTAGTCTGATGAAAAGAAGGACCAGGGGAGACATGATAGCAGTCTTCCAATATCTCAGGGGCTGCCACAAAGAAGAGGGAGTCAAGCTATTCTTCAAAGCACCTGAGGGCAGGACAAGAAGCAATGGAGGGTAACTAACGAAGAGAAGCAACCTAGAACTAAGGAGAAATTTCCTGACAATTAACAATTAATCAGTGGAACGACTTGCCTCCAGAAAGTTCTCCAACATTGGAGATTTTAAAAAGGAGATTGGGACAACCATTTGTCGGAAATGGTATAGGGTTTCCTGCTTGAGCAGGGGGTTGGGCTAGAGGATCTCCAAAGGTCCCTTCCAACTGTTATTCTGTTAAACTAGGAGATGCTGAGTTCTAGGCCTGACTTTGGCACAAAGGCCAGCTTTCACTCAGTCCCTTCCTCAGTCCAATCCACATCACCAGGTTGTTGTTGTGTGTGTGTAGGAAACAAGAGGTGGGAATATTATGTAGGGCACCTGACTTGGACCAAATAAAGCAAAAGATGTACCAACCAACAATACATATAAATTAACTGTTACTGTACTAAACCTAGTCCAGCTATCCTCTTCCAGGCATTTTGCCTTGGGAAACTAAACAGCATAGCTAGTCCTTGAATTATAACTCTTTATTGATGGTCTGTGTTAGGGTATGGTTTGAGCCTAACAAGTTGTCCAGGGAATATATGTATTCTGTGACTTTAATATGAGTATGTATTGTATGACTTTAAAGTTCTAGTGCTGATTCATTGTAATGCTGAGTCATGCTGTAATTAGATAATCACAGGTTGTGAACGTATTTAAGTAAGGTACTGTAAAGTATTCAGTTTGATGATATGCTACCATTGTGTGAGGAGTTGCTATGATATGCTATCATCGTTGGATGGATCTGCTACCATTGTGGTTTGTGAACCAGAGTGAGTTTGTTATTCTAACCAACTAAAGTTTGTTTGGTAAAAAGATATCTGTAACTACTGGACTGATTTAACTGGCAAAGACTTGGAATTTGTTTAAAGACTATGAGACTGTTTTTCTACTATAAAGTAAGCTTTTGATAAACCAGTTTGCTTATCTCTTATTCATTGCTCTCAGCAACGTTTCTCTGTGCTCTACACTCTGCTGGTTGGTAACACAACACCAATATCCTTAACAGTCTGAAGTTACAAGAGTCTCAGAAAAAAATAACTTATGACTCTTGCCAACTGGTGCACTGCCACCCCTCTCCAGTAATGTGATTGTGATTCAAGTGCTTTGCAATTGGTTCGGATTTATAATTCGTTGCAGTATCTTGTGGCCTCGTGACTACATTTTGCGACTTTTTTTCACTGGTGTCTGGCAAAAGCTGCCATTGGGGAAGTCGAATTGGCTTAACAACCACGATGACTTGACTTACGACTGCAACTACTTACAACGGAAATTCCGGCCCCAATGATGATCCTAAATTGGGGACTACCTGAATTAAAGCAAATTATTATTATTATTTTTTTGGCAAATCACAAGAAATGAAATATACCTGGCGTGGTAAACAGCAGTGGGAAGAGGGAAAAATGACCCGTAGTGGACAGTATTAGGTAAATACCAGCATCTCTTGACTTCTCCACAGACAGCAAGCTGAAAACGGAACGATTAAAAAAAAAAAGGAATATTTCAAAAATGGATTCTATTTTTCTCAGCACTCTCTCAAAGTTGCCACATTTATTGCCTGATACTACAAATCCTCGACGAATAACCACAATTGAAGCCAAAAATGTTGTTGCTAAGCGAGACAATTGTTAAGTGAATTCCCCCCCCCCCCTTTTATGAACTTTCTGGACACAGTTGTTAAGTGAATCACTCCGGTTGTTAAATTAGTAGCATGGCTGTTAGGTTAATCTGGCTTCCCCATTGACTTTGCTGCTCAGAAGTTCGCAAAAGGCGATCATGTGACCCCCCTCCCCCCAGGACAGTGCAACCATCATAAATGTGAATCAGTTGCCAAGCATCCAGATTTTGATCACATCCTAAGAATCCAGGGAGGTCTGGATTCTTAGGAAAGCTGAAAGAATTCCCAACTCCAGGTTTCTGCTGTATTCGCTTGTGGTTGATATTTAGAATCAGATCTTTCTTTCTTTTTTTCCTTCCTTTTCCTTCCCTCCTTTCTTTTTCTTCCTTTCTCTCCCCCCTTCCTTCCTTTTCCTCTCTTTCCTTCCCCTCTCCCTTCCTTTTTCTTTCCTCTCCCTTCCCTTCCCTTCCCTTCTCTTCTTTTTCCTTTTTTCCTCTCCCTTCCTTTCTTCCTTCCTTCCCCCCCTCCTCTGCCCTCGTCTCCCTTCCCAAGCCAGATTTCTCAACTGCTTGTCTCCCTCCCTCAGAGAGGGGCTCTGGCAGGCGTATAATATAAACAATAAACATTAAAACCAGAGTATTTTAATATTAAACATTTTAAATTACTGATAAAATTATACATTGGGGACTTTCCTCACCTTTGAGGGCCAGATGTTGCGCAATGCAGAGGCAGACAAAGCCCTCTTCCCAGACCCTGCCAGTCAAAATTCTTTGACTGACAGGGCCCGCAAGATGCCTTCCCTGCCTGAATGAGTGGGATGGGCTGATGAGATGAGTAGAGGTGAAATCCAGCAGGTACTGGAGAACCGGTAGCAGAAATTTTGAGCAGTTCGGAGAACCAGCAAATACCACCTCTGGCTGTCCCCAGAGTGGAGAGGGAATGGAGATTTTGCAATATCCTTCCCCTGGAGTAAGGAGGGAATGGGGATTTTGCAGTAACCTTCCCCTGCCATGCCCACCAAGCCACGCCCACAGAACTGGTAGTAAAAAAAATTTGGATTTCACCACTGAGCCAGTACCCTAGGTAGCCTGCTCCTATGACATGTAGGCCAGTGTTGGCGAAACAGGAGGGTGTGCGCACACCGGGAAGATGATCTTCCGGTTTATGGCATGCGCATCAGCCACCTGATCCTCCGGTTTCTGGTGCGCATGAAGACCAGGTGGCCGGTGCACATGTGCATGCCAGAAACCGGAAGAATTTACCAGCGCGCACATGCGCGCCTCGCGGCTGCTCTTTCACTTTCCAGTGTTTCCACATGCGTGAAAACCAGCTGGCCACCACGCCGGAACCCGGGAAAGCAATGGGCAACAGTTCATGTACCCTGAGAGATGGCTCTGCGTGCCACTTGCGGCACGCGTGCCATAGGTTTGCCATCACGGATGTAGGGTTTCCATAGCTCCCTTCCCCTGCTCACAATGTTTCTCCTGGGTCAGCAACGACCGCTCTCTTACCTCAAAGGAAGAATGGCGAGGAGAATGGCTTTCTCGTGGACGTGCCAGCCAAACAGGAAGGAGCTTAGCGCACAGAGAACCAAGCACCTGAGGAATCCTCTGGGCCCTTGGGGTTTAAACCAAAGACAGAAAACAGAAGGCTAGAAACAACAGGCAGAAACAGAGCTTCAGTGGGTCTCCCACCATCCAGCGGGTCATCAAATCAATGGAGGCCTCCCTTTTCTGTCCTGCCCAAGAGAAGGTGCCTTCAAGCTTGGGATGGCTTTAGACCGGGGATCCCCAACCCCCCCGGGGCCATGATCTGTTAGGAACCGGGCTGGAGGTGAGCCGTGGGCGAGCAAGTGAGGGAAACGTCCACCTGCATTTGCAACCGCTTCCCAGTGGTAGCATCACTGCCTCAGTTCCACCTCAGACGGCCAGGCATTAAGATTCTCATACGGTGCGAGTATAAACGCACATGTAAGGGATCTAACACGCATGGAAGGGATCTAGCTTGCACGTTCCACCCAGATCCATGAAAAAATTGCTTTACCCATTATGCAGCTGAGGGCTATGCCGCCTCTTATCTGAGGGTTCCCTAGAATCAGGGGTCTCCAACCTTGGCAACTTTAAGACTTGTGGACTTTTCCAAACTTGCAAGCTAAATGTTGGAGATGTGACTGTGATGATGCAACTTATTATCATATATGGTGGACTTGTAAGAAAATCAAAAGCATTTTGGATAAAAATTTGGTGGGTGATGCAGAATATCTTGAAAAAAAGGTTGAAATTTACTCCGCAATTGTTTTTATTGTGAATAACTACGGATTGTACAGCATTAGAGACTAAATTGATTTTGAACTTAATATCAGCAGCTAGGCTGTTGGTAGCGCAATACTGGAAGAAGGACTCTTTGCCTACTATTGAATAATGGATATTGAAAGTAGCGAATTTAGTGGAAATGGTGAAAATTTCAGCGTATTTGAAGGACTATACACAAGAAAGATACGTATCGGAATGGAGAAGATGGATTGATTATATTCAAAATAAGTATCAGACAAGAAAATATCAAACAGCTTATGAATGAATGTTAAATTTTAGAAGTATTATGTGATCTATAGTGGAGTTAAGGTTTCAGGGGGGGATTTGGTAGTTTTAAGGATAGATAGGTTAATTTAGCTTATGATTCTTAACTGAAATACCCTGTATTTTGCTCTGGGAAGTCTGGGGGGGAGGGTGGGATGGGGGGAAGGGGTGTGGGGGCGGTGGGGGGGGAGGGAAAAAGGCTGGGGGGAATATTGGGGGAAAATTTTTTTTCTGTAAAACTTTTCAATATTAAAAAAAAAAAAAGACTTGTGGACTTCAACTCCCAGAATTCCTAAACCAGCTTTGCTGTAAAAAATACAGCAAAATACGCAGGTGGGTTTATATTTACCAGCATGGAGATGGCGGTGCAGCATAGGGTTGCCAGTGGGGTCACAGAAGGAAGGACGGTGTGTTGAAATTCCTGAACCAGCCCTCCTGTCATGGCTGCCTTAGATATTTTTGCAGGGTCAAGCAATTGGTACTTCAATCCTGGAAAGCCAAGAGGAAATTTGTTAATGAGCTCAGGCGCAAGAGTCAAATGATCTGAAACAGATTTATGGGGGCTTTGGTCCTCTCTGAGCTTGGTGATTTTCTTGCAAATGTTTAATTACTCAACTAGGTAACATTTTCAGTGGTAGGAGGTGTGTGTGTGTGGTGCGGTGGCCTACAGGTGGAGCTCTCAGGAGGCTATGAGTTCGATCCTAGGTAGAGGCAGATATTTCTCTCTCTGGCCACAATGAAAATGTATTTGTTGAACAAAACTCCGCACTGGCGACAAGAAGGGCATTCGGCCAGTAAACACTCAGCTCCATTCAGTTGCCCAGACTCTACCCTGTTGCAAGGGATTTTTTTTTTTAATTTGATTTATATGCCGCCCTTCTCTGGAGACTCAGGGCGGCTTACAATACGCTAAGCAATAGCCTTCATCCTTTTTGTATATTTATACAAAGTCAGCTTATTGCCCCCACAAACTGGGTCCTCAATTTACCTATCTTAGAAAGGATGGAAGGCTGAGTCAACCTTGAGCCTGGTGAGATTCAAACCTGCAGTAATTGCAGGCAGCTGGTCTTAATAACAGGGTGCTTTAGACCACTGTACTACCAAGGCTCTACCAAGGATTATGGGGTTGTTAAAAGACGATGATGAAGGTGTGTGTGGGAGGGGGAAAGGAGGACGACTGTGGAGTCCTTGGTGCTCTCTGAGCTTGGTGGTTATCTTGCAGATGTTTCATTACCAAACTAGGTAATGTCATCAGTGCTAGTAGGGGGGGGGGGGGGGTTGCTGAAACCAAATCTCAGATCTCGGCAGTTGGAATTTTTTTGACTTGACGGGGCCCGCAGGATGCCCTCCCTGCCTGAATGAGTGGGACGGGCTGATGCGGTTCTGTAGGTAGCGTGGCTGGAGTCAGGTGGTGGTGGTCCATGTGGCATAAAATGGCTGGATGGAAGGAAGGACAGAGAGACTACAGAGAAACAGAAGGATTAGGATACCTACCAAGGACTGACAACATTTTGTCAAGGGAGTTATACACCGCCCAAACGTTTGGGGCCCAGTACGCATGGCAGAGGCCCCGTTTGAAAGGGAAGAGGCGAGAGATGACTTGAGGAAGTTGACCCTAAATGGGAGAAAAACTGTATTAATATTTTCTTCATTCCATTGAGATCGTTTTTTTTTTTTAAAAACATAGCATATTTAAGGGGTGTGGACTTCAATTTCCAGAATCCCCCAACCAGCCGAGCTGTTAGCCACACTTTCTCATGGTTGCCAAAATTGAAAAACTCTAATTTAGACCAAGAAACAACCAAACTTATTAACATTTTAAACCCTGTTGTACTTGGGAATATTGCTACTTTGCTTGAGTTGGTTTCATAAGCTTTAGTTCGCTTTTGTTTTATTTATTCAAAAATTTGCTATATCTGCCCAATTCCCAACAGACTCTGGGCAGCGTTTAACCCCCAAAAGCAGTAAATACAATTACCACCATAAAATCACACAAGCAACATGGACAAAAATACATTGATCCCAGCGTGAGGCCCAAAGGGGATTACAAGTAGTCCTCAATTTACCACAGTTCACTTAGTGACAATTCTAAGTTGCAACGGCATTGAAAAAAGCGAATGATGACCATTTTTCGCACTTAATAACGGTTGCAGTATCCCCATTGCCAGAAGGTTGCAAAAGGGGATCATGTGACCTCAGCACACGACGTCCGTCGTAAACACGAACCAGTTGCCAAATGGGCTGAATTTTGATCATGTGACCACGGTGTTAGGAAATGAGTATTACCTACTTTGTTGGGTTGGCAATATATAAACCATCAATATAGCTTTAAGACTGCATCATACGGTGTCCTGATTGGTTAGCTCTGTAGCCAATCTCCTTAAGAGGGAGCTAGAAACATGGTCTGTTTCTCTTTGCTGTTCTTGCTCTCGGATATCTCTGTATGCTACTGTTTGCAAATCCGGAAGAACTGTTTATTGTGAATGACTATGACGACTGGTAAGAAGACTTTGTTATTGGATTATCCCTGTCGTTTTGCTATCTCCTGCTTTATATGTGTATGACCTGGACTGTTTATTGGACTGTGCCTTACTATTCCCTGAAAGTAAACACAACTCAGTGCATCTGTGTGTTGACTGTGTTTATTCGTATCTACTCTCAATCGCTTTCATGTACACACCCTTGCTATTCAAAGGTTACTCTGCGAATTCCTTAACAATCGTAATTCTTGGGTCCACTGAGGACTACCTCAATTCTGGGGACAAGTTCAGAATTGCCTGAATTGAGGAAGCCGTAACTTGAGGACGGGTCATAAAAATGTCTTTCAGAAAAACAAAAGGGGTTCCTTACCCAAACCAAAAACGGCCCCAGGGAAACGGCAGAAACCAGGCAGACAATTAATCCAAGCACGATTAAGCGTAAAAAACTGAAACTGCGCCACCGAAGAGATCCATCTAGACACAATGAGAGCTAGAATCAAGATGATAAAATTTCAAACCTGAGCACCTTTCTAACCAGACCTTGTATTCTGGAATACAGGTAGTCCTCGACTTACGTCCACAACTGAGCCAAAAATTTGTGTGGCCAAGCAAGACAGCTGTTAAGTGTCTTGCCCCATTTTACGGCCTTGCTTGCCAGAGTTACTAAGTGAAGCGCTGCAGTTCTTAAATTAATAACGTCGTAAATGTGAGTCAGTTGTCAAGCATCTGAATGTAAATCACGCGACTATGGGGATGCTGGAACGGTCGTAAGCGTGAAAAGGGATCTCGAATCACATTTTTCAGTGCTGCTGTAACATCAAATGGTCACTAAGTCGAGGACTCCCTGTATGAAATTGTCAGCAACATACCTGGATTACTTTGGGTGAAGCAGTAAGATCGGAGTAGATAGATGCCATAGGCTGGGGCTACGTAGAGGTAGATGTGCTTGAAATGCAGGAGGACAGCAAAGAGAAAAGCTCCCTCCAAGTATCTTTTCTAGAAGGAAACGATGATGGGGAAGAGAGGAGTTAAAACAAACCAACATCCATTGTCTTTATCAAACAATGTTGGCCAAAAGTTAGATGAGGAACTTGGAGTCTTGGGTAGAGTTTAACAAAACAACACAGGAGCTTTTCAAGATTCAGAATTATCCTCCTTGGTTCATTATAGTAGAAATACTGTGAGTTCTAGTGCCACCTTAGGCATGAAAGCCAGCTGGGTGACTTTGGGTCAACCACCAGGAGACGGTGAGTTCTAGTCCTACCTTAGGCAAGAAAGCCGGCTGGGTAACTTTGGGCCAATCACCAGGAGACGGTGAATTCTAGTCCTACCTTAGGCATAAAAGCCGGCTGGGTGACTTTGGGCCAATCATCAGGAGATGATGAGTTCTTGTCCTGCCTTAGGCATGAAAGCCGGCTGGGTGACTTTGGGCCAATCACCAGGAGACGGTGAGTTCTAGTCCCTCTTTAGGCATGAAAGCTGGGTGACTTTGAGCCAGTCCCTCTCTCTCTCAACCCAGCGCATCTCACAGGGTTATGGTTGTGGGGGAAATAGGAAGAGGAAGAACTAAGTCAAGGTGTGTATATGTGTATGTGGAGGGAGGGAGGGAGGGAGAGGGAGAGAGAGGGAGAGAGAGAGAGAGAGAGAGAGACTGAAAGGCAGACAGTGGGGGGAAGGTGGGGGCTATACACTACCTGGAATAATCGTGCAATGGAAAGCAGCAGCAATCCAAAGAGGAAACCGTTGTATTGGAAGTGAATATCTGAGATTGATGTAAGGAAGTCCATCCGCTTTAGAAAAAATTCCTCCAAGCCAAGAGGCCTTTCTAATTTAAATACGATTCCGGCTAGCTCTAAAAATCAAACCCTTAACATAGATTTCAGTATATCTAAACACACACAGAAGTTATTTTTTTTCGCCCTACTCTCATATTTGGTTAATGGATCAGGATCTTCAAGGAAAAAAAAAACCTGAGAGTGAAGGATACGATCCACAATTAAGAGACCAAAATTCCACAGGAGAAGGACCGAAAGAACGAACGGTGGGCTTTCCAAGAGTTCTTTTGCACCTCGCTTCCCGTTTACACAAGTGCAGCATCTGTAAGAAGAGGCACAAATCTTACACACGGGTGCATTTTACGGGAGAAGTAGTGTTTTATCAAGCAAAAAAACCCCCCCACTACATTCCTTCCACCTCCCCAATTACAGAGAGTCCTCGACTTACAACCATTTGTTGGGTGATCATTCAAAATTATGATAGTGAGAAAGTGATTTATAACAGTTTTTTTCACACTTATGACTTTTGCAGCATCCCCAGGATCACATGATCAAAATTCAGACACTTGGCAACTGACTCATATTTATGACCGTTGCAGGGTCCCGGGAGGCCACACGATCCCCTTTTGTGATTTTCTGATGAGCGAAGTTAATGGGGGAAGCCAGATGCACTTAATGACTGGCTTACCGACTTAACAGCTGCAAGCGATTCACTTAACAACCGTGGCAAAAAAAAGGTTCATTTACAAGTTACAAAAATTCGTTTAGTGACTGTTTGAAGTTACAACGGCACTGGAAAAAGTGACTTATGGCATGTATTTATGACGGTTTTGCGGTGTCCCGGGGTCAAGGGAGAAGCCCGGACTCACTGAACAACTGTGTTACTAACTTAACAACTGCAGTGATTCACTTAACAATTGTGGCAAGAAAGGTTGTAAAATGGGCCAAAATTCATTTAACAACTCTCTTGCTTAGCAATGGAAACTCTGGGCTCAACTGTGGTCATAAGTCGAGGATTATCTGTATTTTGGAAATATCAGGTAAAGGCCAGGATAATCAAAATCAGTGGTCTCCTTCCCTTTTCTCCAGGCCCCAAGGCGCACCAAATAGCAATAGCACTTAGACTTATGTAAGTGGTTTATAATATCAGCCTATTGCCCCCAACAACCTGGGTCCTCATTTTACCAACCTCAGACGGACGGAAGTCTGAGTCAACCTTGAGCCGGTCAGGATCGAACTGCTGGCAGTGGGCATAGTTGGCCTCCAGTACTGCTTTCTAACCACTGTGCCACCACACCAACAGAAGGAGGAAGTGGGGAAGGAAGAGGAAGGAGAAGGGGAAAGGGAAGGAACGGAGGGGAGGAGGAGGAGGAAGGGGGAAAAGAAGATGAAGGGAAAAGAAAGGAAGTGGAAAAGGAGGAAGGAAAAGAGGAAGGAGGAGGAAAGCAAGAGGAGAGGGGGAAGGAGAAAAGGAAGGGCAAAAGCAATAGCACTTAAGACTTATATACCGCTTCACAGTGCTTTCCAGCCCTCTCTAAGCAGTTTACAGAGTTGGCCTCTTTCCCACAACAATCTGGGTCCTCATTTTACCGACCTTGGGAGGACGGAAGACTGAGACAATCTCGAGATGGTGAGACTCAAACTGCCAGCAGCCGGCAGAATTAGCATACAGTACTGCATTAATTTAATTTAATTTATCGCATTTCTATGCCGCCCAACTCCCAAGGGACTCTGGGCGGCTTACAGCAAAAATAATGCGAACAATGAACATAGAAAAATTATTAAAAAACATGATAAAAACATTTAAAAGCATTAAAAACATTAATTTATTAAATTTATTAATAAATTATTTGAATAAATAAAATGATTAATTAAAATGTATCATTATTAAAAACATTAATTTTAACCACTGCGCCACCACGGCTCTTAAAGAGAGAAAAAGACACAACCACTTACTGGTACACAGCATAGATGTAGAGCGTATCGGTAGCGATCACCGATAGCCTTTGGAAAAGAACGGTCATTTGGCTGGAATAGTTGAGATTCTGAACGGACAGCATCTCTTTGTCAAAGTACACGGCAGCCTGGGAAAGCAGACACTCGAACCAGGCAAAAAAGGGAGGGTAATCCAAGGTCCACTCAGAGGTTGCCTGAAATGAAGAAACAACAACAAAATAAGCAACAAGAATCTACAGGAAGAGGCATGAGCGGATTGTACATTTCAAACTTTTAGCATCCTTTTCAGGTCATCAAATCCCAGAGTTTGGCAGGGTCATTTAAGACATCAAGTTTGGTGCGGTGGCCTAGAGGTGGATCTCCTGCCTCACAATCAGGAGGCTGTGAGTTCGATCCTAGGTAGAGGCAGATATTTCTCTCTCTCTGGGCACAATGAGAATATATCTGCTGGGAAAAAAACTCCGCACTGGCAACAGGAAGGGCATCTGGCCAGGAAACACTCAGCTCCATTCAGTTGCCCAGATTCCACCCCGCAAGGGATTACGGGGTTGTTAAAAGATGATTTAAATCATCAAGTTAACCTCCAAGCTTAGCGCAAAACCCCAATGACATATTTTCAGCATCTGGCTATCTAAAGTGCAAGTGAATAAATCCAACAAAAGGGATTCTACCATCAATCGTGATAACCAGTTGTGCTCTCAAGTAATTCTCACTGCTAAAGGTTGTTTTTTTTAAAAAACTGAATGTTTGAAGCCGTTTCTTTTTGAGGAAACACTTGGTGTTTCCCCGTCATTTTTCAAAATAATAATTCAATAAAAAAATTAGATTTTTTTTTAAAAAATTGCATTCCACCTTTATAACTTTGTAAGTAACTCAAGGCAGTGAAGATACTGAATACTTCTTCTTCCCTCCTGCTTTCTTCACAAGAACAACACTATGAAGTGGGTTGGGTTGAGTGAGAGTGACTGGCCCAAAGTCACCCAGCTGGGTTTCACGCTTAAGGCGGGACGAACTAGAACTCACAGTCTTCTGGTGATAGACCCAAAGTCATCCATCTAGTTTTCATGCCTAAGGCAGGACTAGAATTCAGTCTCCTGGTGATTGGCCCAAAATCACCCAGCTGCCTTTAATGCTTAAGGCGGGACTAGAACTCACCGTATCCTGGTGATTGGCTCAAAGTCACCTAGCTGACTTTCATGCCTAAGGCAGGACTAGAACTCACCATCTCCTGGTGATTGACCCAGTCATTCATCCAGCTTCCATGCCTAAAGCGGGACTAGAATTCACCAAACCCGCTTTAAGCTGGGATTAGAACTCACAGACTCCCGTTTTCTAACCTGATGCCTTAACCACTAGATCAAAATGGCTCTCAATCATATTGATTATAATGACTGATTACAATAATAAAAAATTAATACAGGCTTAAAAGGAAAGAAAAAAGGCTTGGGGGGAAAAAAGCAAAAGTAACTTTTAAAAGGACAGTCATTTAGCTCCCTTAAAAAAAAAAAATCCCCAGGATTCACGGAATCGGAAGACTTGCCCAGAATTTGTTTTAAAAGGGGAAGAGCGAACTTACCCAAATTATTGCAAACCGGTCTGTTGTTGCTATGCTGGTTTGTGCAAAGGGGAACGATCTGGATCAGTTTGCTGGGCTAATCCAGACAGAGACCTTCATTTTTTAATCTAGGAAGGCTGACAGGACAGGCAAGAGAGAGACTGCAGATGCCTGCTTGAAAGGTATGTTCAGCTTCCGGTCACAACAACAAGCAGATCTTAAAAGCAAACTTCCCAGTTAAACAATCTCTCTGTGGGTAGATTCAGAAACCAGATGATGAGCATAGTTCCTAACACGCCCCGTTTTGGAGGAGAATGCAGGTAGTCCTTGACTTACAGCCATTTGTTTAGTGACCATATAAACATACAACGGCCGTGAAAAAAGTGACTTATGACCATTTTTCACTGTTACGACCTTTGACGCATCCCCATGATCATGGGATCAAAATTCAGATGTTTGGCACACTTATGACCGTAGCTGGGTCCCAAGGTCATGGGATCCCTTTTTGTGACCTTCTGACAAGCAGTCAGTGGGGAAGCCAGATTCACTTAACAACCGGGTTACTAACTTACCAACTGCAGTGATTCACTGAACCACTATGGCAAGAAAGGTGGTAAAATGAGGCAAAACTCAACCAATGTCTCATTTAGCAACAGAAATTCTGGGTTCTATTGTGGTCGGAAGTCGAGGACTACTTGTATGTTTGTTTAGTGACTGTCCGAAGATACAACGGCACTGAAAAAATGTGACTTATGAACGTTTTTTCTCACTTACAACCGTTGCAGCATCCACATGGTCAAAATTCAGACGCTTGGCAACCGACTCATATTTATGACGGTTGCAGTGTCCCGGGAGTTGTGTGATCTGCTTTTGCGACTTTCTGACCAGCAAAGTCAAAGTTGCTGCTCTGCAAAACCCAAGACATTTCAGGCAATGAAACAATAAGACACTCACCTCGTAGTACCACCGAGAGGCTGGTAGGCTGTGAGTAATGGCAAGCCAGTTCCTATGCACTTCAAAATCTGTGGAATGACTACAAGGAGTTAACAGTTAGTATCCAGATAAAGGTCTATGGAGATTCTCAGTCATTCAGGTCATGGTTGTCCTAAAGATGCTTTTTCTGGAGGCAACTGGACTTTTTTGTTGTTATTATTTTTGAAGGCTTTTCGCTTCTCATCCAAGAAGCTTCTTCAGCTCTGACTGGATGGGGGGGAATGGAAGGGTTTATACTCCTTGCAGACAGCTGGTCGTTTGCATCCTTTTAGAGAGTCATTGAGGCCACTTGGAGGTTTATCTGTGTCCTCAGGGTCACCGGAGTGGTGCAAATGGGTGTGGAGCCTTCTTGGAACTCCTGAAAGGATTGTGTTGTGTAGCTGTGCAGGATGTTTCTTCAGCTGCACAACACAATCCTTTCAGCAGTTCCAAGAAAGTTCCACACCCATTTGGAAGGATGGAAGGCTGAGCCTTGGTGGCGCAGCAGACTAAAGTGCTGTTAAGTAGCACCAACTGCCTGCAATTACTGTGAGTTCAAATCTCAGCAGGCTCAAGGTTGACTCAGCCTTCCATCCTTCCGAGGTAGGTAAAATGAGGACCCGGATTGTGGGGGCAATAAGATGACTTTGTATAAAAAAGAACACCACTGGGGGGGGGGGTACGAAATCCCTACTAAACAGGTATATACAAAAGTATGAAGGCTATTGCTGAACGCATTGTAAGCCGCCCAGAGTCTCCGGAGAAGGGCGGCATATAAATCGAACCAATAAATAAATAAACAAACAAACAAACAAACAAACCTTGAGTCAGTCAGGATCGAACTGCTGAACTGCAGGCAGCCGGCACAAGTAGCCTGCAGTACTACATTCTAACCATTACGCCACCATGGCTAATAATCTACCATATATATATGGTATATATATATTTATTTATTTATTTATTTTTAATTTGATTTATATGCCACCCTTCTCCGGAGACTCAGGGCGGCTTACAATGCTTTTAAGCAATAGCCTTCATACTTTTGTATATTTATACAAAGTCAGCTTATTGCCCCCACAAACTGGGTCCTCAATTTCACCTACCTTAGAAAGGATGGAAGGCTGAGTCAACCTTGAGCCTTGGCGAGATTCGAACCTGCAGTAATTGCAGGCAGCTGGATGATAATAACAGGCTATTAGTCTGCTGCGCCACCAGGCTCTTTTAATATATGTAGATCATCCACTTTTTAAATCTATGGATCAATGTGCAAATTTGGGTTAATTCATTCACTAACCAGGTTAACTGTAGAGAATAGGACTAAACAGTTAATACAGGTAGTCCTCGACTTACAACAGTTCATTTTAGTGACCGTTCAAAGTTCAAAGCACTGAAAAAAAGCGACTTACGATCGTTTTTCATACTTACGACCGTTGCAGCGTCCCCGTGATCAAAATTCAGACGCTTGGCCACTGACTCACATTTACGACGGTCGCAGTGTCTTTGGGAGGGGGTGTCACGTGATCCCCTTTTTGCGACCTTCTCGCAAGCAAAAGTCAACGGGGGGGGGGAAGCCAGATTCATTTTAACCACCGTGTGACTCATTTAACAGCCGCAGTGATTCACTTAACAACTTGTGGCAAGGAATGCTGTAAAGTGGAGCGACCAAAATTTTGGGGCTCCATTGTGGTTGTAAGTCGAGGACTACTTCCATTCCAGCAGAAACCCTCGAGAAAATGTTTTCCAACAGATACCCTCTTTAAGTGTTACACTACAATCCCCATCATCCCCAGCCACCGTGGCTCGTATTCACTATAGATCAGCGGAGCTTGGAAGCGCAGAAAAGAAGAGCACGGAGGGAGGGAGCACAGCCCCGGGAACAGCCAGGGAAAAAAAAAGGACACTTTCAGCGGAGGGCGGTGGAAACTCCCTTGGAACAGCCGAATCTACAATGGCGGCGGCTGAACCTCCCTCCCCTCCCTCCGCGCGCCTTTTTAATCAGCCCGAAAGACAAACGAATCCGGATCTCTTACTATGTCGGAATGAGGAGCAGTTTCAGAAACGTCACGCCGGAGGCCAAAGCCAGAAACGAGCCCTTTCCTCCGCACCAACCGCGGCGCGCCGCCATGACAGCCGCCCGCGTTTTCCCCCAACGGGCGGTAACGGAAGGGGCGCCACTGCGCATGCGCCAGACGCCGACCGACCGTTTGCCGCCTCCCGCTATTTTTTTTTTCTCTTTTAAAACGGCGCTCGATGTCTGAGCATCTGCGCAAGCGCCGTCAAAGTCAAACTGTTGAGCCTGCGCAGTGGCTCGTTCGTTCTAGACATGCAGCTTGGGGAGATATTTAATAGGAATAATAAACGGGCACATGGATTCCATGGTCTTAATATTGCAAATGTGCATACAACTGTTCAGTCACAGCATCTTATCGCTGCTCCAAAAAAAAAAAAAAAGCCACGTTACTCAATGCAAAATAAATTCTATTATTAATTGCTCAGCATGGCTGGCTGAGGAATTCTGGGAGTTGAAGTCCACACATCTTTAAAAGTTGCCCAGTGGAGCAAAACTGGCAAAGAAAAGATCATCAGTTGCTGGAATCTCTTATCAAATTGCATTTGCAATAAATCTGTTATTGACGGGCCTGCCTCCTTTCTTATATTTTTTTTTAAACATTTTGAGTGGAAATCTGTCCTGCAAAATATCAGTCCTTAAAGGAAGGCTTAGAAAAATAAAAAATGGTAGCAGGCTGCCATCTAGAGTTTGGTATGAAAATGTGCCCAGCTGGCCAGAAATCAGGATTTTATTTATTTATTTTTTTAATTTGATTTATATGCCGTCCTTCTCCGGAGACTCAGGGCGGCTTACAATGCATTAAGCAATAGCCTTCATACTTTTGTATATTTTATACAAAGTCAGCTTATTGCCCCCACAAACCAGGTCCTCATTTCACCTACCTTTGAAAGGATGGAAGGCTGAGTCAACCTTGAGCCTGGCAAGATTCGAACTTATTTTAATTGCAGACAGCTGGTGTTAAATTACAGTGCTTAGTCTGCAGAGCTATCCAGGCTCTTTGAAAAGCCATCCGTTTTTATTAACTTGTTTTTAATATGGTTCATATAGGGGCGTGTGTCTCATTCTGGAGGTGATTGATGATGGTTAATGGACTGAGATAAAACCTTCCTCCCCCTTCCCCCCATGTATATCTTGCTTCTTTCCTTCCAATTTTGTCAATTTTTAAATCGATTTTTAGTGTTGATTTTTTTTTTAACATAAAATCAGAGGGGTGGAAGAGACCTCAGAGGTCTTCTAGTCCCGTGATAGCGAACCACACATGCCACAGGTGGCACATAGAGCCATATCAGTGGGCACGCAAGCATTGCCCTGCCTCAGTTCCAGCATGCATGCACGTGCCGGCAGCTGATTTTCGGGCCTTCTGGGCCCATCAAAAGTCGGGAAACAAGCTGTTTCCGGACGGTCTCTGGGGGGGTGGGGAAGGCCAGTTTTTTGCCCTCCCCAGGCTCCTAGAAAGCCTCTGGAGCTTGAGGAGGGCGAAAAACAGGCCTTCCGGTCCTACTGGAAGTCGGGAAATAGGCTGTTTCCAGCCTCCGAAGGGCCTCGGGGGGGGGGGGTTGGGAAAGGCCGTTTTTACCCTCCTCAGACTCCAAGAAAGGCTCTGGAGCCTGGGGAGGGCGAAAAACAGGCCTTCCGGTCCTACTGGAAGTCAGGAAATAGGCTGTTTCCAGCCTCCGAAGGGCCTCGGGAGTGGGGGGGATGGGGAAGGCCATTTTTTCCCTCCTCAGACTCCAACAAAGCCTCTGGAGCCTGGGGAGGGTGAAAAACAGGCCTTCCGGTCCTACTGGAAGTCGGGAAACGGGCCGTTTCTGGCCTCAGGAGAGCCTCTAGGGGGGTGGGGAAGGCCATTTTCGCCCTCCCCAGACTCCAAGAAAGCCTCTGGAGCCTGGGGAGGGTGAAAAACGGGCCTACTGGGCCCACCGTGCCATCACATGCCAGAAGCGGGAGGAGCACAGGGGGGCATGCACGGGGGAGGCGCATTGAATTATGGATGTAGGCACGCATGTGCGTGATCCCCCCGCGCTCCCCCCACTTTTGATATGCGATGGCAAAAAGGTTAGCCATCACTGTTCTAGTCTAACCCCTTGCTCAGGCAGCAGACCCTGTACCATTCCAGACAAATGGTTGTTCAATCTCTTCTTGAAAGCCTCCAGTGTTGCCTTAGTTCTAGGTTGCTTCTCTCCTTGGTTAATTTCCATCCATTGCTTCTTAAAAGCCTTTTAAGAATTTAAAGAATTTCCACTGGTTAATTGTCCTCACTTTCAGGAAAGTTCTCACTACTACATTGGATCTCTCTTTAACAGGCTTCCACCATTTTGTACTGCCCTCTGGTGCACACGATTTAATAATAATAATAACTTTATTGCCATTGTATGTGTATACACAGTATACCCATACAACGAAATTCACTTAACACCCAAAGACCAGGTCCAACAAACATAACAATCCCCAAACACACTCCCACCCACCACAATCCCCCCCCCCCCAACCACCCAAACATCCACACAACAGACCAAGTAATACTGTCCAACAGCTCCCTTTAGTTCATTGTTGAGTGCAATTATAGCTCTGGGATAAAAACTATCAGAAAACGTGTGGTCTGAGTTTTAATTGTTCTGTTTAGCCTTTATTATCTATAATTATTATTATAGTGCTGATCTCTGAACACTTTCTAGAGCCTCAGCATCTTTTTGGCATCGTGATGACCAGTATATAAAACATTCCAAGTGTAGGCCTCACTACTGCTTTTAATGTTTTATCTTGTTTTTATTGTAAGCCACTTCAAATGTGGGTGACAAATACATTTGATAAACAAAAATAAATATGGAATTATGACAATTATACCAATAAAGGAGAATATTTGTAGCTCAGGGTTGAAATTGGTGCTCTCTGAGCTTGCTTGTTTTCTTGCAGACGTTTCGTTACCTGACTAGGTAACAACATCAGCACTACTAGGGATTGTGAGGAGGAGGAGGAGGAGGACAGTGGGGTCCACGGTGGTCTCTGAGCTTGGATGTTTTCTTGTAGATGTTTCATTGTCCAACTAAGTAACATCATCAGTGCTAGAAAGAAGTGTGGTTTGTTCCCAGTTTATATTCTAGTGCCATGATGGTGAACCTATGGCATAGGTGCCACAGGTGGCATGCGGAGCTATATCTGTGGGCACACAAGCATTGCCTTATTCAGCTCCAGCATTCATATGCACGCTGGCCAGCTAATTTTCGGGCCTTCCGGGCCCACCTAAGGTCGGGAAATGAGCTGTTTTTGGCCTCCGGAGGGCCTCCGGGGGGGGGGGAGGGAAGGCCGTTTTCACCCTCCCCAGGCTCCAAGAAAGCCTCTGGAGCCTGGGGAGGGCGAAAAACGGGCCTACTGGGCCCACCGTGCCATCACGTGCCAAAAGCAGGGGTAGCGCGGGGGGGGGTCATACGAGCATGCACAGGGCGCATTGAATTATGGGTATGGGCACACCTATGCGTGATACCCCCTGTGTGATACCCGCTTTTGGCATGCAACGGCAAAAAGGTTAGCCATCATTGTTCTAGTGGTTTGCCCTGTCAGTGTTGGTGGGGATGGCCTTAGGAGATACCTTGCTTAGGCTGTTGACTTCTTTGCCAGTTCCTTGATTGGGGTATTGTTTACTTGATTGTTGGTCTGATGTTAGTTTTGGAATAAATTTATGCTGATCTGGGTCCTAATTGCTGGTGGAGAGGTGCTTGTGTCTTTTTATTCCCTTTTTGGCTAGTTAATTATCTCTTTTGCATACTTTACATATATTGTTAATGTCTGTGTGTCTGTTGATGGTTGATTTGTCAGAGTGCCATGCTTCTAGAAATTCCCTGGCATTTTTGGACTTGGCCTGGTCTTGGATTGTCACATTTTCACCGATGACAATTGTAGTAGTCATGATATGGAGGACCCTGGAGTTAACAAAAACCTTATCTACCATGCTAAACAATTTCATGTTCGTACGAGATGCTAAACCGCAGCATTTTAGCAGGCACTCCACAGGTGCCAGCAATAAAAAGACTTGGAACAAAGGCTGCTTAGAATCATGTATAATTACCAAATCTTCTGATAGTTCAACTTTGTGATTGGGAAAACTCGATGTCAGCTGAAAGCTTCAACCACTTACAAAGTTTAATCACATTTTTTACATTTAATTTTGGAATGCTATTACAGAGACAACCTACCACCAGCTGGGCAGTGAAAAATTAAAGCTATTTGAGGTGTTTGCGTGTTGGGTTTTCCCAAGTATGGGCACAGGATGAAAGACAAGAGTTGTGGTCTACCACAACTGTTCAGGAACAATTGTGTAAATTAGTGTCCTCTGAAAAGAAATACAGGTAGTCCTTGACTTACAACCATTTGTTTAATGACCGAAGCTACAATGGCACAGATAAAAGGAATATATGATTTGTTTTTCACAGTTACGCCCATTGCAGCAGGTGATCAAAATTCAGATGCTTGGCAAATGACTCATATTTATGACGGTTGCAGAGTCCCAGGTCACATGATCCTCTTTTGTGACCATCTGACGAGCAAAGGCAATAGGGAAGCCAAATTCACTTCACAACCATGTTGCTAACTTAACAACTGCAGTGATTCACCTAACAATGGTGGATAGACAGGTTGTAAAATGGGACAAAACTAACTTAACATGTCTCGCTTAATATCAGAAATTTGGGGCTCAATTGTGGTCGTAACTCGAGGATTACCTGTAAGAATTAGCTCATCTCTTTTAGTAGCTAAACCCTGGGAAGTTCAGTATTGGTAAAATCTGGAAGTAAGAAAACATTTCTGGGAAAATCAGGCACTTCCACAACCCTGGAAAACTCCACAGATGTCCTCGCCAGGCGCCAAGCTGAACCTGAAGGTATCTTTACCCTTTACCTTGTTAAAAACCTGCAACATATTTAAGTCCTGGAAAATCACCACTTTGAATGTGGAAATTCTACAGCCGTAAGGAAATTTCCAAGAGTAATAATAATTCTGGGAGAACCTGTTTATTGAAGCAATAAAGGCATCAGGCTGGAAACTGGGAGACAGCGAGTTCTAGTTAGGCATGAAAACTGATTGGGTGACTTTGAGTTCTAGTCTCGTCTTAGACATGAAAGTTGATTGGGTGACTTTGGGCCAATCACTGGGAGACGGTGAGTTCTAGTCCTGCCTTAGACATGAAAGTCAGATGGGTGACTTTGGGCCAATCACCAGGAGTCTGTGAGTTCTAGTCCCGCTTTAGGCATGAAAGCCAGCTGGGTGACTTTGGGCCAATCAACAGGTGATTTGTGACTTCTAGTCCTGCCTTAGGCATGAAAGCCGGTGGGATAACTTTGAACCGATCCCCAGGAGATGGCAAGTTTTAGTTCTGCCTTAGACACCCAACCAGCCGGGTGACCTTAGGCCAGTCACTATCTCTCAGCCCCAGGAAGGAAGCAATAACAAACCACTTCTTGAAAAATCTTGCCAAGAAAACTGCACTGTTTTTGAGGTAGTCGCCACACGGGTCACATCTGACTTGAAGGCCGAAAAATCAAAATAAAAGAAAAGTGTGGTTTGGATTCTTCCCAACTAAGTAGGAGTTGAATAATTGAGAATAAGAATTCTTACGCCTGGATTACATTTCCTTCAAGTGCCTCAACATGACGTGACATGCAAGGGAAACGCAAAACAAGACGAATGCAGGAACGTCGCTGGGCCAGCCTCCCCGAGGATGAATAAATACAAGATACTGCAGCTTTAGGTGGAAAATTGCTTAACGCATTGTAAGCCGCCCTGAGTCTCCGGAGAAGGGCGACATATAAATCAAATTAAAAAAAAAAAAAATAATTTAGTTTTGTTGCCATAGGTCGTGCCGTATTTCATTCGATACACTGGCAGACATAAATAAATATGGGCATGATCGATGGGAAGATATGGCCTGTCGGCCGCTGGCCCCTCCAGCAGCCGAATCAGAGGAGGAGGAGGGGGTGTGGGAGTCAGGGCCAGCATTAAGGCAACCGGAGAGCTCCGAGGGGGAAGAGAGAATGGAGCAGTCACAGAGAGAGAGACAAAATGCAGAGCCTAGGCCATCCATCAGCCCTCTGATGGAGAGTCAACAGCCCCCAGGTCTGGAGGTGGCTGATGAGGAAGAGGAGGAACAGCTGGGTCCAGTGCCTGACGCGCAGAAGGCAGAGGAGAGGAGAGCAGTGGAAATCTATGGGCTGGTCCTTGGGACGGAAGAGTCACCGCTGCTAGTGAAGCCCCACTTTAGCTCTGGGGATAAAAGGCAGGGGGCGGAGATGAATAGATGTGGCAAACAACTATTCATCTCCCTGCCAGATGGACTTGTTAACCTGCGGCGCAAGAGAAACTTTTTGCCGGGGCTGCCGGCGTTCCTAATAAAGGAATCTTTGAGTTCGCTTCAGAGGGTTTGTCGTATTTGGGGAGCTGGGTCAGAACAATAGCAGAGTGGTGTCGCCATAGTGGAAAACAGCCATTTCATTAAGTAGAACTTCAAAAACTGGCTTTCTGAACTCCTTACCTCTGCAGGTAGCATAAATTGAAGATGCACGGACTGCAACTCCCAGAATCCCCCAGCCAGCCATGTTAAATAAAAATCACCGTCATGTTCACAGTTTGGGGGATATTTTGCCTATAGCTCCCAAAACTGAAGAACGCAAAAAAGAACTTTTTTGCAGCTCATGTGGGAAGCTACCCGCTGAGGTATGAAGAGAGGTTGCGTTGATGGACAAAGGAAGCCAACATTTTGGCCTTCAAACAGATCGTTGAGAGTCCGATTTACTCTGGCCTTATATCTTAGTTCCTCCTGAAGGTGATAAGCAGCCATTTGTCTCTAAAATCAGGCAGATAATAGAAAAATATGCTGCTCTGTATTTATATAGGTAGTCCTCAACTTACGACCACAACTGAGCCCAAAATTTCTGATGTTAAGCGAGACAGGTGTTAAGGGAGTTTTGCCCCATTTTATGACCTTTCTTGCCACCTTTGTTAAGTGAATCACTGCAGTTAAGTTAGCTACACGGTTGTTAAGTGAATCTGGCTTCCCCACTGGCTTTGCTTGTCAGACGGTCGCAAAAGGGGATCACATGACCCCGGGACACTGCAACCGTCATAAATGTGAGTCAGTTGTCAAGTGTCCGAAAGTAAATCACATGACCCTGGGGATCAGGCAACGGTCGTAAGCGTGAAAAACGGTCATAAGTCATTTTTTTTCAGTGCTGTTGTAACTTTGGACGGTCACTAAATGAAACAAATCGAGAACTACCTGTATTCTGTTATTGAGAAGGGATCAACCCCAGTGGTTATCATGCCCTGCTCAGTTCAAGTCATTTATTTGGGGGAAAAAAAAAGATTTTTAATCTCCGAAAGAGTCCATTCTCTTAAGTTAAGGCTGTCCCCATCTCCCTTTCCAATGGGGAAACTGAGGCAACAAAGTTAAAAGAAGGCTGTTGTCATGAGAGAAATGAAAGTTTTTCAAAGTCTCTGGGTAAATTTTACACTTCTTCTGAGTAAAAACATTGCTATACAGGTAGTCCTCGACTTACAACCACAACGGAGCTCAAAATTTTGCTCAGCGAGACAGCTGTTAAGTGAGTTTTGTCCCGTTTTATGGTCTTTCTTGCCACAATTGTTAAGCGAATCACTGCAGTTAAGTCAGCAGCATGGTTGTTAAGTGAATCTGGCTTCCCCATTGACTGCTGATCAGGTCACAAAATGGAATCCCATGACCCTGGGATGTGTTATAAATACCCTGCCAGCTGCCACGCGTAAAATTGGAAGTGTCTTGGCAACATTTCAACGAAGTCTCATTCGTCACCTTCAGGCTGGTGTTTTCGGCTTCGTGATGACGAATGAGACGAATGAGAAAACTCGAATAACCAAAGACTTACATACAGACACCTGCGAAAACCTCAGAAAACAAATATATATCTTTGGTTATTCGGGTTTTCTCCCACGTAAAATTGGAAGTGTCTTGGCAACGTTTGACGAAGTCTCATTCGTCATCTTCAGGCTGGTGTTTTCGGCTTCGTGCTTCTAGGAGCAATGTGTGATCGCAGCTGTTTCTTCCTTTTAACTACAATGGGGGTGTGAACTGATTGGGTGGGAGCTTGGCTGTGTTCTGATTGGTTGACATCAGACCCATAACATCAGAACCAAAGACCTACATACAAATATCCGCGAAAACCTCAGAAAACATATATATAAAACATATATATAAAACTTACAACAGACAGTTTCATTCCAGCCTCAGACAAAACTTATCATTAGAAATACCATCAATTATTTCCTCTTCTTTCCTTGGTGTCTGAATCCCTGTTTTTCCTCACGGATGTGAAAAGTGGCGACATTTGGACCGTTGCCAATCAAGGGTATAAACTATTTGGAATTCAAAACAGGCTGTTCCAATCTTATCAGAAGTATTTCAAGTGGTCTCCAGCACCACCTATCATTGGAGCATTTAAAAAAAAAACCCTTAGCGTGGAATGACAATTGTGCCGTAACACGATTCCTTCACTTCAATAGCACTAGCACTAGCAATAGCAATAGCACTTAAGACTTCTATAACGCTTCACAGTGCTTTATCGCCACAGGGGGTATTCAGCCGGTTCGGAACGGTTCAAGCGAACCGGTAGTAGCGACCTGCCCACCTGCCCAGGCGCTATGCCGTCCTATTTAGGCGAGTTTTGAAGCCGCGCGCAGGTGTGCAAGTCGTGTGCGTGAACAAGTAAAGCATATGCACGGAAGGCGCATGCACGACCGAAGCGCTCATATTTGCGAACCGGTAGGGAAGGTAATTGAATACCATCTCTATCTCCCTCCGTTTACAGAGTCAGCCTCTTGCCCCCAACAATCTGGGTCCTCATTTTACCGACCTCAGAAGGATGGAAGGCTGAGTCAACTTTAAGCCAGTCGGGATCGAACTGTTGGCAGTCAGCAGAGTCAGCCTACAATAATGCATTCTATCCACTGTGCCACCAAGCTTCCTTCCTTCCTTTTCTTCCTTCCTTCCTTCCACCCTCCCTCCCTTTGCAATAGCACTTAGACTTATATACCGCTTCACAGTGCTTTTATAACTCTCTCTAAGTGGTTTACAGAGTCAGCCTCTTGCCCCCAACAATCTGGATCCTCATTTTACTGATCTTGGAAGGATGGAAGGCTGAGTCAACCTTGAGCCAGTCAGGATCGAACTGTTGGCAGTGAGCAGTAAGCTAGCCTGCAATACTGCATTCTAACCACTGTGCCACCATGGCTCCTTCCTTCTTCCCTCTCCATAGCACTTAGACTTATATACGGCTTCACAGTGCTTTTATAGCCCTCTCTAAGCGGTTTACAGAGTCAGCATTTGGCCCTCAACAATCTGGGTCTTCATTTGACCCACCTTGGAAAGGATAGAAGGCCGAGTCAACCTTGAGCTTGGTGAGATTCGAACTGCCAAATTGCAGTCAGCCGGCAGTCAGCAGAAGTAGCCTGCAGTACTGCATTCTAACCACTGTGCCACCACAGCTCATCATAAAGTATAAAAAATATCATAGAGATATTCCTTGACCTCCAACCGTTTGTTTAGTGACCGTTTGAAATTACAGGGGGTCCTCAATTTACGACCACAACTGATGTTGCCAAGTGAGAAATTTTTGGCTTTTCTCACCACTTCGGTTAAGTGCAGTTCTTAAATTAGTAACCCAGTGGTTCAACGAATCTGGTTTCCCGCCACTGATTTTGCTTGTCAGAAAGTCGCAAAAGGACTCTGTATCTTTGAAACGGTCACTAAATGAACTGCTGTTAAGCCGAGGACTACCTATACACGAACGGTTATAAATTGAGGACCACCTCCCAGTGGGTTTCCTAATGATTTTTCTTCAAGGTGTGAATGACGAATTTTTATGGAGCAAGACGCCTACGTTAATTCCCACATAAAAATCCATCACGTTTCTGTTTCTAGTTTTAGTAAATCTGGGTTAGTCTTTTTAGTAAAAAAAGAAGCTAGGCCTCCTCCAATTAGAACCATGGTTTGCGAAATCAGCTCCGGGTTGTAAGCTTGTGACACGACGCAACGTTGCATCGTTGATAGAAAACCGGTTCTAGGTCTATCTATAGCGAATCAGCCGAATAATCTTATTATTCATGAAATCTGTCGTGTGGGGGTGAGTGGAGTCCACGCAAAACCCATCGCTCATGGCGATTTTCAGTACTTCCTCCACAAAGACCTGGAAACTGTTAATTTGTTTCTTGGTGGGAAGGACCCACAATCTCTTTAGGTTCTGCCTTGTGTATTCTTCTTCGGGTAGACCTTCCACGCTAGCCACCCAATCCAAGGTGACGTGGTAGGGATCTTCTAAATAAGTAGTGATGGAGGCCAGGTTGCCGTTGAAACAGTAGTAAAGTTTGGAGCCCAGGAGTTTGAGGAACAAGCTGGAAGTGCTGAAGATGTGGGCGCTGAACACTTCCATGTTAGAAGAGGACAAGCTGTAGATCTGAGGAGCTTCCCGGACGGTGAAATGAACTGTTTGTGTCCTCTGATCCAAAGTGATGTTGAGCATCGCGTTCTTCTCGGCTTTAGAGAGCTCCACTTCCTTCTCCAGTAGAGCCTCGATGAGTGGTTGGACCTGGTAAAAATCCGCTTCTCGCCGAAGCAGGCCCATTTCTTGGAAGTCCTCGGGAAGGTCCAGGTGAGAAGTTCTCAAGAAGTTGAGGATGTAGCGGAAAACTTTGCCGTCTCGGTCAATGAAGCAGTGGCCTTGGCTGTCTCTTTTGGTGGGCATCTTCCCACTGAACATGGCGCCCAGCATGGAGTCCGGAAAGCTAGTCAAAGTGGAGAGGGAGGTCGTGTATAACTTCCCGCCAACGTTCAGCGTTATGGGTTCCGACATGGCTGGAAATGCAGCAGATCTGGGAGAAGGGAAGGAAGGGAAGGGAAGGGAAGGGAAGGAAAGGAAGGGAAGGAAGGAAAGGCAAGGAAAGGAAAAAGGAAGGAAGGAAAGCAAGCAAAAAGAAAAAGGAAGGAAGAAAGCAAGAAAAGAAAAAGAAAGAAGAAGAAAGAAGGAAGGAAGGAAAGAAAGAAAGAAAGAAGAAGAGAGGGAGGGAAGGAAGGAAAGCAAGCAAGCAAGCAAGAAAAGGAAAGGAAGGAAGAAAGGAAGAAAGAAAGGAAGAAAGGAAGAAAAAGGAAAAAGAAGAAGAAAGGAAGAAGAAAGGAAAGAAGAGAAGGGAAGGAAGGAAGGAAGAAAGAAAGAAAGAAGGAAAGAGGGAGGGAAGGAAGGAAAGCAAGCAAGCAAGAAAAAGAAAAAGGAAAAAGGAAGGAAGGAAGGAAGGAAGGAAGGAAGGAAGGAAGGAAGGAAGGAAGGAAGGAAGGGAGCGGGAAGGCAGGCAGGCAGGCAAGGAAGGAAGGAAGGAAGAAGAGAGAGAGAGAGAAAGAAAGAAAAAAGAAAAGAAAAGAAAAGAAAAAGACCAAATATTAATTTAACTTTTCAAAAAGTTAAACTTTTCTTTTCCTTTCCTTCAAAGGAAGAGAAAAACCCTGAATGCATTCCTGGTAGTCCTTGACTTACAACAACATTGGGACTGGAGTTTCTGTTGTTAAGTGAGGTGGTTGTTAATTGAGTCACGCCCAATTTGGACATGCCCCACAATGATACGTTCAAAATTCAGGGGCCTGGCAACATTCCAGAGTCACAAAATTTCTATCTGGGGACCCTTCCAGGTGGCTCCCCATAGCAAAGTCAATGGGGGGAGCCACACTCATTTAACAACCGTGTTCCTAACTTAACAATGGCAACGATTCACTTAACAACTGTGGCAAGGAAGGTGGTAAACTCGACCAAACTCACTTAGCAACAACTTTGCCTAGCAATAGAAATTCTTCTCCCAATAATTATTATAAGTCGCCGACTACTTGTAATTAAATATGTCCGTGAATTGCCACTTTGCAAATTCAATGCAGTTGTGCTGATACTCAAGACTCTTATACAGGTAGATCCTCAACTTACGACCACAGTTGAGCCCAAAATTTATGTTGCTAAGTGAGAAATTTGTGAAGTGAGTCTTGCCTCAATTTACGACCTTTCTGGCTGCATTCATTAAGTGAATCACTGCAGTTCTTACATTACAAACACGAGTTGTTAAGTGAATCTACTTTCCTCTTTGACTTTGCTTGTCAGAAGGTCGCACGTGACCCCAGGAACACGGCAACTGTCATAAATGTGAATCGGTTGTCAAGCATCCGAAATTTAAATCATGTGATGCTCCAGTGGTCATAAGTGTGGAAAAACGGTCATAAGTCACTTTTTTTTCCCAGTGCTGTTGCAACTTTGAATGGCCACCATGTGAACTGTCGTAAATCAAGGACTACCTGTAGTTATATATTAATCCAATCATTAAAACCTGCCGGAGATGCCCTGTCACAAAACACACAACCTTTGCATTAATTTTTTTATGGGGAAAGTTTTTTTCCCCTGCAACTGTCCCAGTTGTGTGATTGCTCCTGGTTATCTTACGGCTGGCGACAAGCTGCGTGTGTTTCCGGCGGCAGTTCAAAATATTCTTTTCACGGAGGCTTTTAATTGAATTTTGGCTGCTGCTATTTTTGCCGTCCTGCTTTTAAGAGGCTGCCAGTCGATGGAATCCTGCTCTGTACCCTTGAACTGGGGTCATTGTATTCATAATAAAAAAAGTGGCTTAATAATATTACGGTATATGGCTGTGATGGTGAACCTACGGCACGCGGAGCCATATCAGTGGGCATGCGAGCATTGCCCTAGCTCAGCTCCAGCGCGCATGCGTGTGCCGACCAGCTGATTTTCGGGCCTTCCGGGCCCACCGGAAGTCAGGAAACAAGCTGTTTCTGGCCTCCGGAGGACCTCTAGGGGTAGGTGGGTGGGGAAGGCCCATTTTTCACTCTCCCCAGGCTCCAGAGGCTTTCTAGGAAAGGCTTTCTAGCCTCCCCCCCCGGAAGCCCTCTGGAGGCCGGAAACGGCCCGTTTCCCGACTTCCGGTCCCACCTTCCAAGAAAGTCTCTGGAGCCTGGGGAGAGCAAAAAACGGGCCTACTGTTGTGGCCCCGCCCTCTGAGCCTATCCCATCGGAGGAAGAAAGCTCCGAGCATGAGGAAGAGGAGTCAGCCAGGCCTCCCTCTCCAGGCCCCTCCCCTCTGGCACTGTCTCAGGTGCCGGCCGAGGGAGAGGAGATTAGCAGGGAGACAGGTGTCTCGGATGAGAGTGAAGGAGAGACATCATTCCTGGACGCACGCCAACGAAGGCGTGATAAACGATTGCAGCAGCTCAGGAGGCGTGCTAGGGATTAGAACTGAGTCACTGGACCACACCCCAGAGACTATATAATAGAGGGTGGTGGCCAGTGATCCCTGTGACGAACAAAAATAAACCTTGGATAGTCACTAAAGCATCGTTCGAAACTGCTGAGAGGAATATTTATTTTCTGTTGGACTCTTGTACGCTGAGTATATTATCTTTCTGTTTCTGTGGAAATAAAAGCACTTCGCAGACGGTGTGTATATCGCTGCCAAGTTGGAGATAAAGACCTGGGTGTGTGCCAAGTGCTTCCTTAACCCTCGGCTGGCTGTGTTTGTGTGTGTGTGTGGACAGGGACAGATCACCTACTGGGCCCACCATGTCAGCGTGTCAAAAGTGGGGGGACCGTGGGGGAGTCGCACGCACATGCATGGGGCACATTAAATTATGGTTGTGGGCATGTGCGTGCACGACCCCCCGCACTCCCCCCACTTTTGACACGCGATGGCAAAAAGGTTAGCCATCACTGGTATATGGAAATAGATGAACATCCATCTGTTCCAGGGGTGAAATTCAGCTGGTTCCTATCGGATCGCGAGATACAATAGGGCCGACTGCGCGAAACCTCACCAGTGACTCCGCCCACCCCCCGGACGTCATCACGGAAGGTTCTCCGCATGCGCAGAAGCGCGGCCCGCGAGCGAAGCAAGCGCACATGTGCGCTCACAGTTCCAAATCGGTAGCGAAGGTAAGTGAAACCCACTACTGAACCCCCCCTCACCCATGCGGACGTCATGACGTCCCTTTTTTGCGATGATTTGCAGCCTCTGCACATGCACAGAAGGCTTCACACATGCACAGATGACGGTGTGCACATTTGTGAACCGGTAGGGAAGGTAAGTGAATTTTACCCCTGATCTGTTCCCGAATTTTGGATCTGGGCTGACATCCTCTGCTCTTGAAGCGTGATCTTCCTTAAATAACTTTTCTTCCTTCCTACTTTTTTTTTTAAAAGGGTTTTTTTTTTTCCTACCCTGACTGTCTTTAATCTGGGGTTAAAAATTTATCAGCGTAAACATCAGACGCTTCAAAAAACAGCTAAAAGCCAAAGTCTTCTTTGCTTTTTTAAAAAAAAAACAAATAATGCAGGAAAAACGAGTCTAAAAATAAGTTTGCGTGCCTCTCGAACACAGCTGACAATTAAACTAGAGGAAGAGAGATGTTCTGTATACTGCACGAGGAGGAGATAGGACCTGTATATACCATTGTGCCACCATGGTTCAAAATTTATGTGGCTTTTTCTTGCGTTTTTCTTGCCACGTTGGTTAAGTTTAACCCCTGCCGTTGTTAAATTAGTCACACGGTTGTTAAGTGAAACCTGGTTCCCCACTGAAATTTGTTAAGATGGTCGCCGAGGGGGAATCGCGTGACCCCGAGACACTACGATTGTCATAAACACCAGTCGGTTGTCAAGCATCAAGAACGTAAATCACCTGAGGGGGAATGCTGCAACGGTCATAAGTGTGAAAAGTGGTCGTAAGTCCACTTTTTTTGGTGCTTTCATAACATCAAACGGTCACTAAATGAACTGTCGTAAGTCGAGGACTACCTGTAATGTAGAGGGGCCCACTGCCCCTCTTAGCGCATTGCCTCTGAAAGCTTGTGCGTTTGTGTTTGTAGAAGAAGTTAAGATTTGAATTTCAATCCTAGCCTGCATCTTACACGCTGCAGATGTGGGATTTCTTAATTAACTGTATTTCTAGTCCCTGCAATATAATTAAGTGGCCTATTAATAGCCGTGTCCTCGAATCACCTCTGAGCTAAGCTTATCGATTCAATATTGTTTGCAGAGAAGTTATTTAGTTAACGAAAGGCTCCGGGAACAGGGAAAAAAAATTTAGATTAAACTACTGATAGGAAATGTGACCCTCCAGAATACAGCTAAATTACCACATCGTTTATTCTTGGCTGCAGGTGGTCCTTGACTTACAACAATTCATTTAGTGACCGTTCAAAGTTATGTAATTGAAAAAAAAAGTGACTTACAGCTGTTTTTCACACTTGCGACCACTGCAGCATCCCCATGGACACTGCAACCGTCATAAATCTGAGTCAGCTGTCAAGCATCTGAATATACATCGTGTGTGTTGTGGTCCGCCAGCAGCCTGCGGAGCTGGCAGTGGAGTTGGACAGCGAGGAGGCTGAGGAAGGACATGGGCCAGTCCTGGAGGCTGGGGAAGGCCTGGACGAGGGCTCTGTGTCGGAGGCAGAGATGGGGCCAGGGCCATCGGGGAGTGATGCGCGGACTCCAGAGCCTCCAGAGGCTGACAGTAGAGAGGCAGAGGAACAGGAGGAGCCTGTTCCTAGTGAACGTATGAGAAGAGCTGCCAGAAGGCAAGAGCAGCTAAAGCAGAGAGGACGACTTGGGAGTAAGGCCAAGAGATGATTGGCCCCTCCCATAAGGCTTAAAAGACCAGCAACGGCTCTTTGCCTCTTTGCCGGAAAACAACGTTGAGAGAATTGCTACTTGTTTCACTGTATTCCTTTCTTGTCGGCGTCTTCTGCTTCTGAACTTTTGCCAAGAAAAGCCTTTGGCAGCTTGCCTAATTATCCCAAGGTCGGTGATAAACTGAGGAATGGTGTTTTGAAGAATTTGCTTTAATTTAGTTTGGACTACGCTGAGAATGAGTTAATTCTCAGCTGTTCTAATAAAATCTGTTTGTTTAGAACTGATTGCGTCTGATAATACCTACTTGTTTTCGATCTGTTTGTATTTAATACTAACTACTTGGGCCTGGGTCACAACAGAGTGACCCTGGGGATGCTACAATGGTCGCAAGTGTGAAAAATGGTCGTAAGTCGCTTTTTTTCCAGCGACGTAACTTTGAACGGTGACTAAACGAATGGTTGTAAGTTGAAGACTACCCGTAGCCAGATTCTGAAATACGGAAAAGGCTATTTGACTGAACACAGAGGGAAGAGAACAAGTATTTCTACCAAGATGAGAAAAATCCAGCCACTTTAAAACAGCTGTCAGTCAAAACGGCCGATACCCTTTAATCTTTTCTATGGGTGGCTGAATAATTTAAAGCTCTGAAAAAATCAGAGCACACCCACACGACGAAGGAAGAAAAGTGAGTTTTGTTTCAAGTAACCTTATGCATTTGGCATTCTCCAGCAGGCAAAAGTACTTTGGGACTTAAGAATTTAAACAAATACCTGCCACATAACACCTCAGACTGATAAGAAAAACAAAAGAAAAAAGTTTGGCTAGTGGACGTGGTAGCAGAATAGAAGAGAAAGAACTGGGGGAAAAGAAAAATCACAGAATTTAAAGACGGCAGATACAGATGATCCTCGATTTACGGCCACGATGGAGGCCAACATTTCTGTCGCTAAGCGAGACAGTTCTTAAGCGAGTTTTGCTCCATTGGACATCTTTTCTTGCCGCAGCTGTTAAGTGAATCCCTGCTGCTGTTAATTAATAACATGCTTGTTAAATGAATCTGGTTTCTCCACTGAGTTGAACAGAACAGAACAGAGTTGCAAGGGAACTTGGAGGTCATCTAGTCCAACCCCCTGCTCAGGCAGGAAACCTTTTACCATTTTTAGACCAATGGTTGTCCAATCCCTTCTTAAAAACCTCCAGTGTTGGAGCATTCACAACTTCTGGAGGCAAGTTGTTCCACTGTTTAATTTCTACTCAGGTCTAGCTTGATTCTCTCCTTGATTAATTTCCATTCATTGCTTCTTCTCGTCCTTCCTTCAAGTGCTTTGGAGAATAGGTTGACTAAACTAAATTCAAATTAAATTCTTAAGTCCCGCCATAATAAACCTGCTCAGCTCTTCATGGGTTTTATGGCATGGAGCGTCCCACCAGTCTTACCAAACGGTCTTCTTTCAAAGGATCAGAGTTTCTAGAAAATTTGTCCCCAACTTGATAATTGGGCCATCGTCTGGATTCCCAAGAACCTGCGAAAGTGGGGAGAAAACAGCCAGTATTGTCTAAAAACAGGATTATTACAACTAAGGCATGACCAGTGCTATCTGGAAGACTGCGAATTGTGTAATATTTATTGAGTGCCAGGTAAGGTAAATGATGTTTCCTTCCAACCTTTGTTCCCAAACTTTTAAACTTCGACTCCCAGAATTCCTTGGGCATTGCAGAGGATTCTGGACGTTGAAGTCCACCCATCCGGATTTTCCAGTTAAACAAACAGCACCTTAATCTTAGCGACTTTAAGCTGTGTGGACTTCAACTCCCAGAATTCCACACGGCTTAAAATTGCCAGGGTTGAGAAAACTCTGCCTTAGACAAATATTTGCCCATAAAAAGAAAGGAAAAGAAAGAAAGATCAGGAATTGAAATAGAATTATCTGCACAATGCAGCTAAAGTGAATGGGGGAGTGATAGATAGATAGATAGATAGATAGATAGATAGATAGATAGATAGATAGATAGATAGATAGATAGATAGATAGATAGATATAGATAGATGATAGACAGATAGATGATCTATCATAGCTAGATGATAGAGATGATACAGATAGATGATAGATGATAGACAGACAGAGATTAGATTAAAATACCTAGATGATAGAGATGATAGACAGATGATAGATAGATAGAGATGATAGACAGAGATTAGATTAAGATAGCTAGATGATAGAGATGATAGACAGATGATAGATAGATAGAGATGATAGACAGACAGTTTAGATTAAGATAGCTAGATGATAGAGATGATAGACAGATGATAGACAGATAGATATAGATAGATGATAGACAGTCAGACAGACGGAGATTAGATTAAGATAGCTAGATGATAGAGATGATAGACAGATGATAGATAGATAGATAGATAGATAGAGATGATAGACAGACAGTTTAGATTAAGATAGCTAGATGATAGAGATGATAGACAGATGATAGACAGATAGATATAGATAGATGATAGACAGACAGACGGAGATTAGATTACGATAGCTAGATGATAGAGATGATAGACAGATGATAGATAGATAGATAGATAGAGATGATAGACAGACAGTTTAGATTAAGATAGCTAGATGATAGAGATGATAGACAGATGATAGACAGATAGATATAGATAGATGATAGACAGTCAGACAGACGGAGATTAGATTAAGATAGCTAGATGATAGAGATGATAGACAGATGATAGATAGATAGATATAGATAGATAGATGATAGACAGACAGATTAGCTAGATAGCTAGATGATAGAGATGATAGACAGATGATAGATATAGAAAGAAAGAAAAAATAACTTCATAGTGACTTTGAATGTACACTAATCAACACATATTAAAGTGAAATTTCATTGCATACAGCTCTCAGAGGGACACCACCTCCGATTACATAAGCATGACAAAATAAATAAATACAAAATCATGCATACAAACACATATATCATATGACACAGAGAAACAACATGGTCTCTTAGCGTGGACTTTGGGGTCCCCTTGGTGTAGAAAAGTAACACAATAAGCAACCTAAAACTTGTGCTCAGAAGCTTAATATATAAAATGATTCTGCGTATGGAATTCTTCCCTGAATAATGATGGATGAGTTTAATTTCAGGATAATTGACATACTCTTTATAGATAGTCCTCGACTTATGACTTCCCCCACTGACTTTGCTTGTCGGAAGATGGCTAGGAAGGTCACAAACAGCGTTCGTGTGACTCCAAAATGCTGTAACCATCATCTAAGTTGCCAAGCGCCCTAATTTTGGTCACGGGGGGATGCTCTACCGTCATAAGTGTGAGAAAAGTGTAAGTCACTTTTTTCAGTGCTGGTGGTGTAACTTCGAACAGTTGATGAATCAACAGTTGTAAGTTGAGGACTGCCTGTGCTTTTCTTTCAAAGCAGATACAGGTAGATCCTCGATTTACGACAGTAATTGAGCCCAGAATTTATGTTGCTAAGCGAGACATTTGGTAAGTGAATTTCTCGCCACAGCTGTTCAATGAATCACTGCAATTAAGTGAGGCACACGGTGGTTAAGTGAATTGGGCTTCCCTGTTGACTTGACTTATCAGAAGGTCGCAAAAAGGGGATACTGTGACCCCGGGACACTGCATTCGTCATAAATACGAGTCAGTTGCCGAGCGTCTGAATTTTGATCATGTGACCGTGGGGAATGCTACAACGGTTGTGTGAAAAACGGTCCCAAGTCCCTTTTTTCAGTGCCCTGGTAACTTTGAACGGTCACTAAATGAAAGGCTGTAAGTCAAGGACTACCTCTGTCTGTCTGTGTGTCTGTCTGGTCTATCATCTATCTATCTATCTGTCTACCTATCTCTATCTATCTATCTATCTATCTATCTATCTTTCTATCTATCTTTCTATCTCTCTAACTCTCTCTTTCTCTCTCTCTCTCTCTCTATCTCTATCTATCTCTCCTTCTCCCTCTCTCTTTCTCTATATCTCTCTCTCTCTCTCTCTCTCTTTATATATATATATATATATCTTTCTCTCTCTCTCTTTCTCTATATCTATTTATCTATCTATCTATCTATCTATCTTTCTATCTCTCTAACTCTCTCTTTTCTCTCTCTCTCTCTCTATCTCTATCTATCTCTCCTTCTCCCTCTCTCTTTCTCTATATCTATCTATCTATCTCTTTCTCTCTTTATATATATATATATATCTTTCTCTCTCTCTCTTTCTCTATATCTATTTATCGATCTGTCTCTCTCTCTCTCTTTATATATATATATGTATCTCTCTCTCTTTCTCTTTCTCTATATCTATCTATTTATCTAACTGTCTCTATCTATCTATCTCTATCTTTCTCTCTCTCTCTCTCTCTCCTCTCTCTCTTTCTCTATATCTATCTATTTATCTATCTAACTGTCTCTATCTATCTATCTATCTATCTTTCTCTTTCTCTCTATATATCTCTCTCTCCCCCCTCTCTCTTTCTCTATATCTATCTATTTATCTAACTGTCTCTATCTTTCTCTCTCTCTCTCTCTCTCTCTCTCTCTCTCTCCCCATCCCTCCCTCCCTCCCTCCCTCTATCTATCTATCCATGCCTTGAAAGTGGGCAGGAATTACAGCAGGTCCTTGCAGGGAAGTTCCTTAACTTCTTCCTTTTAATTTCTCCAAATAATCTGCCTTTATTTACCCACCAGAGGGGGAAAAAAAAGCACGCTGCTACTAAGGGCAATGGGCAGGGCACAGGGAGTGGATGATGGGCACTGTTACCCCAGGGATTTGGAGCATGGCATCTGTTGTTTAGCCTTTGCCTCCTTTGCGTGTTTTTTTTTTTATTCCTGCCTTGCATTCCCACCCCTCACCCCCCACCCCCAAACTTTTGATGGCAGGAAAACTCCCAGGAAAAAAGGCAGAGGAGGAGACCCCAAAAAGCCCTCCTGCCAGGGCCCACCGGGTGCTGAGCCAGCCTCCCATTCATTCCCCCCTCCACCGGCTCCGGGGCCAACGCCTACCTCTTCTCCCCCGTCTGTCCATCCGCCGTCACGCCGGCGCAAGGAGGAAAGCCACCGCCGTGGGAAAAAGGGGAAGGCGGGGGGGAAGAACGCTTTGGAAAGAAGAGCCGGAGGAGAGAGAGAGGCGGGGGGGGAGGAGGAGGAGGAGGAGGGAAGAGCCGGCCCGGCGCAAGGCTTCTTGGGAAATGGAGTTCTCCGGCAACTTCGCCGGCCAGCCCAAATCTAGGGGGGACTGGGGAGGGGTGGGGGAGAGAGAGCGAGCGAGCGAGCGATTGGCTGGTGTTTTAAAGGGGACGCGAGCCTGGAATTGGGATACGGGAAGGAAGGAGGGAGGGAGGGAGGGGGAGGGAGAGAAAGAGAGAACGAGAGAGAAAGAGAGAGAGATGGATGGGTAAATTGGTGAAAGGATAGATTTTCAGAGAGGGGGGAAAAAAAGAGGATAGGTAGGTAATAAAGTCACTTTTTGTGAGATGGGCTGCTACGTAAATTAGATAGATAGATAGATAGATGATAGATAGATAGATAGATAGATAGGCAGGCAGACAGAAAGACAGAATGATAGACAGATAGACAGATAAAATGATAGATAGAATGATAGGTAGATAAATAGATAGATAGAATGATAGAATAATATATAGAATGATAGAGATAGAATGATAGATAGATAGATAGATAGATAGATAGATAGATAGATAGATAGATAAGCAGGCAGGCAGGCAGGCAGACAGAAAGACTGATAGACAGACAGATAAAACGATAGATATAATGATACATAGATAAATAGATAGAATGATATATAGAATGATAGAGATAGAATGATAGACAGATAAAATGATAGATAGATAGATAGAATGATATATAGAATGATAGAGATAGAATGATAGATAGGCAGATAGAATGATAGATAGAATGACAGAATGATAGATAGACAGACAGATAGAATGATAGTTAGAGCTAGACAGGCAATGAAAGTAGACAGATAAGAGAGAGAGGAAAGAATTATAGTAATAGGTAGGTAGGTAGGTAGGTAGGTAGACAGATAGACAGACAGACAGACAGACAGACAGATAGATAAGGAGTGTAGACAGATAAGAGAAATAGAGAGGAGAGAGCTGAGTAGTAATAATGGTAGATAAAGAGAGAGAGATAACGAGAGTAGATAGACAAGAGAGAAATAGGAGAGTGGGGTAATGATAGCGATAGACAGACAGAGAGAGAGAGAGAGTGAAAAGAGAGATGAATGAATAGATTTAGACGAGAGAGAGGGCGGGAGAGAGAGAGAGAGAGAGAGAGAGAGAGAGAGAGAGAGAGAGAGAGAGAGAGATGCTGGGAAGTTAGTCAATGGCCAGATGTACACCACTCAAGAGTCACTTTTTGTGAGACGGGGGCGGCTTTATAAAGCCGATAATTAAATCACTAAAGATCCTGAGAAAGAAAGAAAGAAAGAAAGAAAGAAAGAAAGAAGAAAGAAAGAAAGAAAGAAAGAAAGAAAGAAAGAAAGAAAGAAAGAAAGAGGGATGGAAGGAGAGAGAGAGAGAGAGAGAGAGACGGACGGGCAGAGGCAGCCAGCTAAAAATAAAAGAATCCAGTCCTGTGTAGACAGATATATACGAGAGGTCCGCAAGCAGATCCTTAGACCGACCGGCAGACGGGCACAGAGAGAGCGCGCGCGAGAGCAGCGGATTCCTTCCAAAGGTGCGGGAGGTTCTCCCTGCGGTCGGGCGCCGGCTGCCGCAGCTCCTGGCGCTCTCAAACTGCACCAGCGCCGGGTAGATCCGCCGCTGCCACCGCCCGGGCTTTGCAAAAAAAAACAAAGAGGAGGAGCAAGGCCGGCCTCGCAGGGGGGCGAGATCTCCACCCCCGCAAGGAAGCCGCTTCCTTAAGACGGAGCAAGGGATCGCCCCGGGGATGCTGAGCTGGAGACCCCCGACCGGTCCCTCCGGAGTGGGTGCATGGATCCTGGATCCCACCGTGCCGGAGAAGGGGGAGCGCTGAACGCCCAGGTAAAAGAGAGCGGGCTGGCCGGGTTGAAGAAGGTGGGTAGGTGGGTGGGTGGGTGAGTAAGCGGCGGAGCGTTTGCGATCAGGGTTGTCGGTGGGTCTCCGAGGGAGCCTCCCCGTTTAGAAGCAGGAGAGGCGGTCCTCGATTTAGGACCGTCGTGTGAGCCCCAAATATGTCTGGGGCTGAGCGAGGCGTTTGTTAAGGGAGTTTTGCCTCATTTTACCATCTTTCTTGCCACGGTTGTTAAGTAGTTGCAGGTTTGTTAAGTCTCTCTCTCTTCTCTCTCTCTCTCTATAAAATCTCTCACATGTATCTCTCTTTCTCTTCTCTATCTATCTATTCTCTATCTATCTGTCTGTCTGTCTGTCTATCTATCTATCTATCTATCTATCTATCTATCTATCTATCTATCTAATCTATTTCACAAAATATATCCATCTATCTACTCATCTCTTATCTATCTCCATCCATCCATCTATCCTCTCTTTCTATCTATTATCTATCTAATCTAATCTAATCTATTTCACAAAATATATCCATCTATCCACTCATCTCCTATCTATCTATCTATCTATCTATCTATCTATCTATCTATCTATTCTATTCTATTCTATTCTATCCTCTCTCTCTCTATCCTCTATCTGTCTATCTATCTATCTATCTATCTATCTATCTATCTATCTATCTATCTATCTATCTAATCTATTTCACAAAATATATCCATCTATCCACTCATCTCCTATCTATCTATCTATCTATCTATCTATCTATCTATCTATCTATCTATTCTATCCTCTCTCTCTCTATCCTCTATCTGTCTATCTATCTATCTATCTATCTATCTATCTATCTGTCTGTCTATCTATCTATCTATCTATCTATCTATCTATCTATCTATCTAATCTAATCTATTTCACAAAATATATCCATCTATCCACTCATCTCCTATCTATCTATCTATCTATCTATCTATCTATCTATCTATCTATCTATTCTATCCTCGCTCTCTCTATCCTCTATCTGTCTGTCTATCTATCTATCTATCTATCTATCTATCTATCTATCTATCTATCTAATCTATTTCACAAAATATATCCATCTATCCACTCATCTCTTATCTATCTCCATCCATCCATCTGTCTATCCTCTCTTTCTATCTATTATCTATCTATCTATCTATCTATCTATCTATCTATCTATCTATCTATCTATCTATCATTCTATCTATCTATCTATCCTCTCTCTCTCTCTCTATTCTCTATCTATCTACCTACCTACCGATCTGTATCTCTCTCTCTCTCTCTTTACATACATACATAAGTTAGTAATTTATTCCACTTTGGAATTCACTGCCACAAGATATGGGCTGGCAATCTGGTGGGCTTCCCAAGAAGGGTTGGATCATCAATTCATGGATGCTTTGGCGATCCATGGCTCTTAGCCTGAATGATCCTAGGATGCTTCTGAAAGCTATCTCCTGGGAGATGGGTGGATTTCCGTGGTCAGTGGGGAAGAACACCCTGCTGGACGAGATGGGGCGGGGGTCCCATCTACCGTAGCTTATGTTTCCAACTCAGAAAGAAATATTTATTCCTCCTACCCACCAAAAAAGTTGACTTACAGGAAGAGGTTGATGTTTCTCATTGTAGCAGTTAAGTTTTGATTTATTTATTTATTTATTTATTTATTTATTTATTTATTTATTTATTTATTTATTTATTTATTTATGTTTTCATTCATTCACTCACTCTTTCATTCATGTATTCATTCATTGATACCCCGCCGTTATATTATTTTTATAAATAATACCAATCACGTGACCCTGGGACGATGTAACCATCATAAATACATATAAATACTCCTCGACTTACAACAAATCATTGTACAGCCATTTGGAGTTACAACGGCCCTGAAAAAAGTGACTTATCAGCATTTTCACACTTATGACCGTTGCAGCATTAATATGGTCATGTGATCCAAAATTCAGGCGCTTGGCAACTGACTCATATTTACGATGTTTTCACCATCCCGAGGGTCATGCGATCCCCTTATGCAAAATCAATGGGGAAGCCATTGATTCACTTAACAACCCTGGGACTAATTTAACAACCGCAGTGATTTGCTTAACAGCCGTGGCAACAAACATCTTAAAATCGGCGAAACTCATTGAACTGTCTCGCTTAGCAATGGAAATTTTGGGCTCGATTACGGGTGCAAATCCAGGACTACCTGTACAAGGGTCTGAATTTTGATCACGTCACCATGAAGAGACGGTCGTAAGAGTGAAAAACGGTCTTAAGTCACTTTTTTTCAGTGCCTTGGTAACTTCAAACGGTCACTAAATGAACTGAGATAGGTCGAGACCTACCTGTACCCCACCCCACAAGACTGGGGTGGATTAATAGCACCCTATCTATTAAAGCAGGAATCCCCCACCTCCGGTCCGTGGCCGTGGCATGCCAGAAACCGGGCCACGTCAATAAGCGAAGCCCCAACCTTCGGTCCACGGAAAAAACTCTCTCCACGGAACCAGCCCTCAAAAGATTGGGGGCCACTGAATTAAAGCACGCAGATTTACAGTAAAAAGTGGTCCCCATCCATCAAATCATTTGATCCCTGCACAAAATTGCTTCTCGCATCTCTGATCTGACCGGAGTGACTTTCGATCCATTGATAATGGATTTAGGCAGGGAACTGCTGAGTCATGCCGTCATTTTCCTCCTTGCAAGACGAGAGGACGCCCGCTGAACTGACTTGCCGTCTGGATTTGGGTTCCTCCCCCCTCCCCCCCGGAGTAGGCTGTGAATTACGGTACTACATCCAATTCCGCTTCTCAATCTTTTCCACCTCGTTTTGGAGGCCGCCGAGCGGATCTTTTCAATCTTCCGAGCAAACCAAATTTCCCCGTTTCGAATGCTCTCCTGCCCCAATCCTCATTTCTCAAAAGGGAGGCTTTCGTCGGAAGGTTAAGGCTTAAGGGCAAATGGTTAGCAATGCGTTTGAAAAAGCTCCTTGAAAATATTTAATATTTGAAAAAAGATCTTGGGCAGTCACGACGTAAGCCTAAGATTGAAAATCAGACTTGTCAGATGTTGCAATCTTTTCTACCCTGCTCTACGGAGTGGAGAGTTGGTCTCGGACAGAAAACCACTTGAAGAGATCAAGTGATGGTGAATCTATGGCAAGCGTGCTAGAGGTGGCACGTGGCACCCTCTCTATGGGCACGCAAACCGTCGCCCCAGTTGAGTTCTGGTGCATATGCGCAAGTGCCTCCCGCCAGCCTTTGGGTCTGTTGCACATGTCCAGGGGGTGGGGTGGGGTGCATGTGGGAGGGCCCGTGCGTACATGCGTGGGGCACATGTGGGAGGCCCATGCACGCATGTGGGAAGGCACATGAGGGGGGCGCATGCACATGCGTGGGGGTGTACGGGGGTCACGCCAGTGGTGGGTTTCAAATTTTTTTACTACCGGTTCTGTGGGTGTGGCTTGGTGGGCGTGGCATGGCCTGGTGGGCGTGGCTTGGCTTGGTGGGCGTGGAAGGGGAAGGATACTGTAAAATCTCCATTCCCACCCCACTCCAGGGGAAGGTTACTGCAAAATCCCCATTTTATCTCAATCAGCTGGGATTTAGGAGGCAGAGAACAGATAGGGGTTTTACTACCGGTTCTCTGAACTACTCAAAATTTCCGCTACCGGTTCTCCAGAACTGGTCAGAACCTGCTGAAACCCACCTCTGGGTCATGTGTGCATGCGTGCGGGGTGGGGCATGTGGAGGGGGATGCATGCATGTGCGCCCGCGCAATGCATTTTGGGGTTTCGGGCGTGCTTTGGGCACTCGGTTCAGAAAAAGTGAGTCATGCCAAGGGAAATCATCAAAAAGCAAAAGTTAGAATATTTTGGACATGTGATGCGACACCCGGAAAAATACAGCATCCTTCACTTCATTCTCCAGGGAAAGACGGAAGGCAAACGAGGTCCAGGCAGAAGAAGAAGAACATTGTGGCTTCAAAATCTAAGGGACTGGTTTGGACAAAACTCAGCAGCACTTTTTTGGGCGGCTGTTGATAGGATCACCAACTCCAATGATGGATAGGGAAGAAAAAGGAGCAGAAGCGGAAGCAGAAGCAGAAGAAGAAGAAGAAGAAGAAGAAGAAGAAGAAAGAAGAAGAAGAAGAAGAAGAAGAAGAAGAAGAAGAAGAAGAAGAAGAAGAAGAAGAAGAAGAAGAAGAAGAAGAAGCGGAAGCAGAGGAAGAAGAAGAAGAAGCAGTAGCAGAAGCAGAAGCAGAAGCAGAAGATGAAGAAGCAGAAGCAGAAGCAGAAAAAGAAGCAGAAGAAGCAGAAGCAGAAGCAGAAGCAGAAGCAGAAGAAGAAGAAGAAGAAGAAGAAGAAGAGGAGGAGGAAGCAGAGGAAGAAGAAGCAGTAGCAGAAGCAGAAGCAGAAGAAGAAGAAGCAGAAAAAGAAGCAGAAGCAGAAGCAGAAGCAGAAGCAGAAGCAGAAGAAGAAGAAGAAGAAGAAGAAGAAGAAGAAGAAGAAGAAGAAGAAGAAGAAGAAGAAGAAGAAGATAAATTGCAAGAAAACCCATGTTAGCTAGCCAGGGTGACCATACAGGTTGTCCTCGACTTACGACCACCATTGAGCTCGAGAGTTACGTTGCTAAGCGAGACATTTGGTTAAACAAGTTTTGCCCCATTTTACAAACTTTCCTGATTTTGCTGCTCCAAAGGTTGCAAAAGGGGATGACACGACTTTGGGACACTGCAACGGTTGTAAGTATGAGCCAGTTGCCAAGCATCTGGATTTTGACCACGTGGTCACGGGAACGCTGCAATGGTCGTAAGTGTGAAAAACGGGCAGAAGTCACTACAGATAGTCCTCGACTTACAAGCGTTCATTTAGTGACCATTCAAAGTTACAACGCCACTGAAGACAGTGACTTAGGGCCATTTTTCACACTTATGACCATTGCAGCATCGTGGTCATGTGATCAAAAATTCAGACACTT